CTGCCTCAACTTCTCCAACTGTAAAATGTAGACAATAATAGCACATATCTCTTGGAGTTGTTGTGAGGATCAAATGAGATGATATTTGTATGGTGGTTAGCACAGTGCCTGGTGCATAGTAGGTGCTCAATAAATACTTGTTCCTACACCCAAAGGACTATAAAACCATGCATATCCTTTGACCAAATAATACCACTACCAGCTCTGTATCCTAAGGAGATAAAAAACAAAAAGTAAAAGAATCTATGTGTACAAAAATATTTATATTTTAGTGGTGGCAAAGAAGTGGAGACTGAGGAGACACCCATCAACTGGGGCATGCCCGAACAATTTGTGGTACATGATTGTGATGGAATACTATTGTGCTTTAAGAAATTACAAGGAGGATGTTCTTGGAAAAATCTGGAAAGACTTACATGAACTGATGTAAAGTGAAATGAGCAGAACCAGGAGAATACTGTACACAGTAACAGCAATATTGTATGATCTTCTGTGAATAAATCAGCTATTCTCAGCAATACAGTGATCCAAGACAATTCTGTAGGACTTACGATGAAAGATGCTATCCATCTCCAGAGAAAGAACTGGTAGATCAACAATACTTTTTCTTTATTTTACTTTTTTTTTTTTGGTCTGTGTTTTTTTTTTCCCACAGCATGACTTACATGGAAATGTGTTTTGCATTACTGCACATGTATAACTTATGTCAAACTGCTTGCCTTCTCAATGGGAGGAGAGAATTTGAAACTCAAAATTTGAAAAAAATGTTAAAACTGTTTTTACATGTAATTGGGAAAAAAATAAAATATTAAATAAATGTTTGTTCCCTTCCCTTATGTAGAAGACTATTTATATATGTAATTCTTGACCTTCCTCCTCAGCTTGAGTCCAATACTTCTAACTACTTTTTAGAGACTTAGCTTGGATTTCTTATTGGCAGATCTAAATCACTATGTCCCAAGGTAAACATCTTTCCACTAAAACCTATCTACCTCCTCTTTCTAGGAGCCACCTCCAGTCATCCTGATCTATAGCTTGCCACTGGAACCGGAAGGCTTCAGAAGAGAAAGTGACGCTGGTGATCTTGCACAGCCCTCCCTCACTTACATCCAATTCACTTGTATGTTATGGCACCACCTTCCTGATGTCATAGTCTTCTTTGAGAATGAAGGACAAACAATAACACTGCCACATTCCCAGTTATACCTATTAGAAATCTTACAGTCCTTCTCCTTTACATCAAATCAGTTATTTAGTCCTATTGAGTCTACTTCCACAAAGGTCTCTTGAATCTCTCCCTTTTCTCCACTTACAAAGTCACAACCCACACCTTCAGCATATCCAGTGGAATAGGAGTCCCCTGAGGGCAAGGACTATTTCATGTGTGCCTTTATATCCCTCGTACTCACCCACAGTGCCTGATACAGAGTAAGGACTTTATAATGTTCACTGAGTTGAATTTAATTGTGTCTTACCTGGACTACTGCAATAGACTTTCTAACTGGTCTGTCTACTTCTAGTCTCCTTTCCAATTCATCCTTGGTACAACTGACAAATTAATCTTCCTAATGCACAAGTCTGACCATGTCTCTTCCCTGATGAAAAAGTATCAGTGGTTCTCTATTCCCTGTAGGATAAAATACAAAACCTTAGTTTGGCATATAGGGCACTGTACAATCAATAAATCAACAAATACCTGGTAAATGCCTATTAAGTACTAGCCACTGTGCAAGGCACTGGGGATACAAAATAGAAAATGAAAAGAGTCCCCACCCTCAAGTAGCTTACATTTGATCACCTAGCTTCAACCTACCTTTCCAGCCATATTTCACAGTAATTCCTCAGCTTTGCTACTTGTTAGCTGGGCAACCTTGGACAAGACATTTGATCTCCTCTGACCTCATTTTTCTCATACATAAAATGGGAGGACTGGGTTAAATGATTTCTAATGAGTCTTTCCAGCTCTAAATCCCATGATCCTTCAAATACTCTATGTTGCAGCCAAATGGGACTACTAGCTAATCCCCAAATTTGCCCTGTACTTTATTGCCAGTATGGCTGTGCAGGCCACTTCCCATGTCTCAAATACATTCCCTCCATAGCTACGTGCTGAAATCTTCCTTTTTCAGCTGAGTTGTGATGGTGAATGCCTATAATTCCTAGTACTACTGATGGATTGGTTGAGCTCAGTAGTTCAGCTATAATGGACTAAGCCGATCTGATGGCTGCACTAAATATGGCACCAATAAGGTAAGCCCCCAGGTACAGGGGAGGTAAAACTCCCCGGCTGGAAATGATACAGGTCAAAGCTCCTGTGTCAGTCAGCAGTGGGATTGGGCCTGTGAGAAGCCCCTGTACTTCTAGCTTGGGCAAGACAGGGAGACCTAGTCATCAACAAAAAAAAGTAACTCTTTTTCTTTCTATATGACTTAAGTCATATACTGTCTCCTTTGTAGTCTGTGATCTCCCTCCACTGAAAGTTAGTTGTCCCTTCTCACATTTTCTTATGGTTCTCTGGAATTTTCCACTTCCTTTATCATGTTCTACTTCCTACCATATTTACTTATGCACCTGTTGTAACCCCACTATTAGACCGAAAGTCCCTTGAGGTCAGGGACAGCACTGTTTCTAATTCTTATATCCTGTGTGTTTAGCATAGTTCTTTGAGCAAACTAGGCACTTAATTAGTGGTAAGGAATAGAGGGAAGAGAAAATTAAGTATTACATATGATGAGGACTAATACTACCAAAAAATATCTTAAGTGCTACTTAGGAGCAGCGGTGAAATCATACCCTTTGACTTAATAATTTCATTATTGGGAATATGCCCTGACAATGTTATCAAAGATTTTATAAAAGCTGTTAAAACATTATCCTAGCAGCATTAATTGTAATGGCAAAAAACTAGAAGCAACCTAATGCCTAGCAATAGGGGAACGGTTGAACAAAGGGTGGCACATTAATGTAACAAAATGCTATAGCATTAAGACAGACAAGTATGAGGTATACAAAGAAATTTAGAAGGAACTTTATGAAACAATACAAAGTGGGTAACAAGTAGAACCACTACACATGAACTACAATCACATAAGGAAAAATTTTAAATAAGAATGAACAAAGAATCTGGATAAAAATCTTGAGAAAATGAAAAACATGAGATTTTCTGCATTGAAATTAAATGTAAATAGTAACTAAGAAAAAAGATACATGCCAAACTTACAGCAAGCACAGGAGCTACAACACCAATAAAATATTCAGGTTTTACTAGAGATAACTAAAAAAAATAGCCTCTGTGAAATGATTAACATTTCAGTTCCACTTTTATCTTTACCTTTTGCATATAATAACTTGCATCAGCATCACCTGTCTAAACTTTTAACAAGAGCAACTGACTCTACTCCATTAAGAAAAATGCAGACCTTTTAAAAAAAGCCAGAAAGCATCAATATTGTTGTTGTTCAGCCGTCTCAGTCATGTCTGACTCTTTGTGACCCCCATTTGGAGTTTTCTTGGCAAAGATATTGGAGTGGTTTGCCATTTCCTTCTCCAGCTTATTTTACAGATGAGGAAACTGAGGCAAACAGGGTGAAGTGACTTGCCCAGGGTCACACAACTAGTAAGTGTCTGAGGCCAGATTTGAATTCAGGAAAATGAGTCTTCCTGACTCCAGGTCCCGTACTCTATCCACTGTGTCACCTAGCTGCCATAACATCAATATTAACAACTCCCCAAAGGAGCACTAATGGAAATTATTACTCTCTATGACCCAAGGCCAATGCTGATACCCCTAGATTCTCCTTCCCAACTTTGCTGTAACACAGTATAGGATAAAATACAAACTCCTCTGTTTAGCTTTTTAAACTTCTACAACCTGGCACCAACCTCTCTTTCCAGCCTCACTGGATATTACTCCTCTTCTCACACTCTGTGATTCTGCCAAACTGGTTTTTTCTTTCTTATGTGCGTGCGTGCACACACACACACACACACACACGAGACTCCATCTTACTCCCATATCTTTGCACTGGCTGTCCCCTCTGTCTTCCCCCTTCCTTACTTCCACCTTGCAGAATCCCTCTACTCCTTCAAAATGTGGCTGAAGCATTGCCTTTAACATGAAGCCTTTCCTAAGCCTCCCAATTGCTAGGACCTCCCTCCCAGAAATACCTGGAGCTTAACAGCTTAGTATTTATTTGTATTTATTCAGCATATCCATTTAAATGTATTTGTTGTCTTCTCCAGCAGAATGACAGCTCCTTGCTAGCAGGGATTATTTCATTCATTTTATATGCATCCCTAGAAACACAGTTTCTGGCACACAGTGATTTACTGGAAAGAGAAAAGGATTGGTAATCAAAAGACTTGGGCTCAAATCTTGTCTCTCCTACGTAATATCTGTATGATTCTGGATAAGTTATTTAACCCATTGGTTTAAGCCTTTTCATCCACAAAATGAGGACTAACTCATCTCTAATGTTCCTTCTGAGAGTAAATCTATACTCCAATAGCTCATGGCCTCCCTCTTGTGGCAACCTTTACTCACTTAATGCCTACATTTTAAATTCAGCTTTGCTACAAAGGAGTAACAAACATCCGATGCCCAGGTCAAATGGGGAAAAAGGAGAAAAATTTCTATAAACAAGACTCCTATTTAACCACAAATCTTATCTACTTACAGAGGCTAAGAAGGTGACAAGAAAACAGAACTCTTTAACAATGCTCCTTTTTCTGCCTCAAGTTTCAGGGGTGTTTGTGTTTGTGGCTGTCCATGCAAGAACAAGGACACTGCCTCTGGTCTTCTGCAAAATGAGAAAACCTATGACAAAGCTAACGCCTTCAGAGCCGCCTGGCAGAGACAGAGACTGTGCCTTGAATGACTGTTAATGCCTGTAGCCTCCCTATCCAAATCTTTTCTGATGAGTCCTGTCATTTGGCAGACATAGTGGCTCCCATCGTTTTGTTCCAAATTGTGCTTTAATGTGCCCTTGAATTATTGTTACCTTCACAGGAATATCCTCTTCCTGGTTTGCAGTCTCTGCAGTGAAGACATAGGAGATTTCTTTATGTGAAGTTGTCTGTCGGCAGATGGCACACTTAATTGAGCTTCGGCGGGTGCCCACGCTATACTGCTCAATGATAATGGCAACGCATTCATTACAAAAACAGTGCCCACAGGTCAGTACTGCCCACTAAAGGAAAAAACAAAGAGCAACACTTTTGCTATCAAAGATTCCAAAAATGTGAAAACATTCAAATTTTTGATCTAGGTGAGAAGGAAAAGTTTGAAAGTTATAATTCTAACTCCTTAATAATGAACAGCCCTAATATTCTTTAAATACAAAGTAGAAATACAACATATGATTATTTTTGTTTGTTTCCTTTTTTAAAGAACCTATCTCTATCACCAGCAGGCTCAAATATAAAATTCTCTGATGTCCAAAGCCATTTGTTACCTGACCCTCTCCCACCTTTCTGGTCTTCTTATACCTTACTTACACATACTTTGTGGCCAGTGACACTGACTTCCTTGCTGTTCCTCACACAAGACATTCCATCTCTACACTCAGAGCATTTTCACTGGCTGTCCTTAATGCCTGGAATCTCTCTCTCATCATCTCTGCTTTCTGTCTTCCTTCAAGTGCCAGCTAAAATCACTCGTTCTATAATAAGCCTTTGCTGATCTCCTTTACTGCTAGTGCCTTCCCTCTGTAGATTATCTCCAATATACTTTGTATATCTCTGGCATGTATAGAGTTGTTTGCATGTTGTCTCCCCCATTAGACTGAGCTTTTTATGAGGAGACATTATCTTTTGCAAATCTTTGTATTCCCAGCACTTAGCACATAACAGGTGCTCAATAAGTGCTTACCTGACTTATTCAGGCAGAGCCTGGATAACTACTTTTTACATCTGTCCACCACCATTTTCCTGCTTAACTTTTGGAGCACATTCTCTGTAGTCAACCAAAGCATCCTCCCATTGTCCAAAAAATGCCAGAAATTCTACCTTTTCTACAAAGCCTGGAAATTAAGGGACATCTTTTCCTGATCATCACATTGTCTGATTATGGAACTCACATTTATCTTTTCACTAACAGCCACAAAACACACACATGGACTTTTTTAATATTAAAAATATTTGTCTTTTTGTTCAATATTTGTATAATTGCACATAATGATGTACGTAAGTTTGTTTGCAATGATCTCCCAAAGATCAGAGATCATGAATTGTCCATTTTCTTAGTTCTACACAGACTGGATGATGGAACTATACACATATAGGAAGACATTTGGTGAGGAAAGGTGTGGCACAGTGTGAAGGGCACCACTTCTGGAGCCAGCAGATATATGGGTTTGAGTGCTACCTCGACCCAACTAGCCATGTCATTCTAGTCAAATCATTTTTCCTCATTCGTAAAATGAGGATGCTTTGTAATATATCATGTATTATACAGGGAGAGGGAACAAACTTACAATTTTGGAAACAGGTCCACAGAAGTTTAAGTAACTTACTCAAGGTCACACAATTTAGCAAGTGACAAAAGCAATATTTGAACCCAGGTCCTCTGTCCCCCAAAGCCAGCACTTTCCACTGTTTCTATTCTTTAAGATTCCTCCTACAACACTATATATGGCAAGAGTTTATCCATCCTGTTGATATAAATATTGTTGATGTAAATATTTTACTCCTCTGTAGGAAAGCAAATACTACCTTCATCTTAAAAGCTTCTGTGAACTAACATGCACAAAAGAAGGGTTACTGACATTTGTTGATGGGTACAATACACTTCTAAAAGGCATTCTAATTCACCACAAGAAAGAAGTTATGTTTTTGATCTGATTAAAAACTGGAACTCATGGCATTTTAAAAGAGCTAAGTACAGTACAGAGCTCCCCCAAAAGCCAGGCAAGTATACCTTTGTAATATCAAATAAACACATTCTTTGTGCTCTATTTCTAAACAACTGCCAGGAAACCAAGCAAACACACAAATTCAAGTCAAGCTTATTCACATTTCAAATTAAATCCTTGGAATAAAGCAAGGAATATAATTATACATTCTCAAAACTTGATTTAAAAAAGATGGCCCACTCTAGAAACGTCTGACCTGCAAGTAGTAGACAGAACACAGTTGTTGTCAGAATCATAAGACCTGGGTTCTGATACTAGCTCTTCCACTAATTAATTAGATGACCTTGTGCACAATTTAACTTTCTCTGGGTCTCAGTATTCTCCTCTGTAAAAGAGAGAGCTTGGACTAGATGATGTCTACCGTTACTCTTAGTTCTAAAAACATGCATTTTTTTCTAAGTAATAACAGATGGAAACTAAGAGATACATGAAAATGTTTTCTCCTTTTATTTTTATTATCTTTTGTATAATCCACAGCCCTCAAATCTCAAGGATTTACTACAAATTGAACAATCTTGAGCACTGGTAACAAGGGGCAGTGCAGAAGGCAGGCACTATGCATAGGAAACCTGCCCCCAGTCTCTGTAGTGGCACTTAGCTATGGGATCTTGGCCAGGTCACTTAACTCCCAAGAGCCTCTGTTTAATTACCTGTAAAAAAAGGGATAATGATATTTGCCCTGCCTAACTCTAAAGATTACTTTGAGGTTCAAATAAATTAATATCTGCAAACTGTAGACTGTTATATAAACGTAATACACTATTATTTTACCTGTTTCCCCAGTTGCCGAGCACAGATTGGACAAGGTTCTGGATTTATTCCTCCAGTGGTCTTATCTTGAGACTATAAAATATTAAGAAAAAAAACTATAAAAATACATCAAATGTTTTCAGGCCTAATCATGCAGCTGAAATATGACAAATAATCCCAGAGCTCACATTAAAGTATAATTCAAAATCAATCATGTGGTCCCATCTCTTGTTGCCTTTACTATTCCAAATGTTACTTAAAAGTATGGTCTTTCTGCTTTTAATGTGTCCCACTTCCAATTTCTCCTCCATATTCCTGCTCTAGTAGTATTTCTAATGTTGTAATTCTGTGATTCCATAATGTGTTATGATTATATCACTATAGGTTACCCAATATCTAAAGCATAAAATAGAAAGCTCATAGCACTCCCTTTATTTTAGATTCTAGGTAATATGAACCATTCTCCATTTCCCATTTCCCCTTTTATGCGTTTAGATTTCACTTTTTTTGACTGCCAATCTGTAAATGTCTTCCTTCCTTCAAGGCCTAACTTTGATGCCATTTCTTCGATAAAATAATCTCTTGATACCCTCTGCTCTCAGGGTAAAAGTGGAAAGTCATCTTTTCCTTCTTACACTTCTCAGGACATTTTATCTGGCTCTTTCCTTTGTACTTTCCCTTGTGTCATCTATTTATATACATGCTATCATCCAGTCATTAGAATGTAAGCACTTGGAGAGCAGGACTTGTGTCATTTTTTATTTATAAATATATTTTTACACACACATACACACACATACATACATACATACATACGTATATTTATTTAAAATCTCCAGGACCCAAAACATCTTGCAGGTATTTCATAAATATGTGATGACCTGAACTGACAACATTATGGAAATAATGATTTCCCTGGTATAATATCAGAGGCATAATTAAGATATAATCTGAACAATCTTGGTAATTGACACATTCTGCTATCACTAAGGCCACAAAATATTTCCTTAAGTGGAATACTAGTGCTCTATTTCAAAATCAGTACTTTAAAAACTTTTATGAATATGCTAGGGAATACAATTTGAGGTAATATATGATATAACACTGCTAATTTTTCAAAATTCCATTCCAGTATGGATTCTACTGCAAAAGAATGTTGTTACCAATTAAGATGTGAAAATAAAGGAACACTGTGACTATGACGGAAGTCTTCTTATTTATTTTATGTCAATACTTAGGTCATTAGTTGTAAATTTAAAAAATAAATTCAGAAAAGCAACAGTTTGATATGTATTCTAATTATTACTAGCTTCTAAACAGAATCTTTTTACTTTCTTTAGCAAAGCAAAAGAAATTAGAAGGAAGGAAAAGAACTTGCTGATGTGGAAGGAAAGACTTGCAAATTAGAACTGAAAATAATATTAACTGTTCAAAATCTCTATTAAATAATTCAATGCAAGGGTACAGCCCCCAAGGGGAGGACTTAACTGAATTTCCTAATGAAAAATTAAATTAAATAATCACCTAATCCTTTAGGGGTTGGATGAAAGGGATAGTAATCTAGGTAAAGAAATAGAATCATTTATCTGGAAATTATCTTAGGAGATATTTTTAGAATAACCTTAATAACAATAAATCCAATTTTAACTTTTAGGGAAAACATTTTCTAAACCTTACTGAACTACCAAAAAGGTTCTCTGATCTCAATGATTCAGGAGATAAAAGAACTGCTATTAACACCAACTATAACAATTTTATACAGAAGCTTAATCAATGGAAATTCATTGCTATAACTGGGAGACCAAGAGTATACCAAGTGCTTTAGTAATTAAGTAAGTAAACCCAGAAGTTCTATGTGTAGAAACACTAATATTTTATCTGCTCTATTAAGTATCACTAAAATTTCTGCTTTTTCCTATTGATAAACATCTGCAAATATTTTCAACTGATTCACAACTAAATGTATACAGTAAGCTAATCTTTAGAAAACAAGCCTTGACAGAATAATCTATTCTAGGCCTACACCACCTGCAGCCCTGGCCAAGGAGTTCCTCTACATACAAAGGATATTTTCCTCTACATTTTTCACAGGCTGCCTGAAATCCTTTGGCATGCTGCAAGTAGTCCAAGGGCCGTTAAGTGGCCCATGGGTAGCAAGTTGTGCAGGCCTGATGTATACAAATACATGCATCTATATATCATCAAAAAATTGACTCTGCTGAACAATGAACCAGACCCATAACTAGACTGCAACAACTGGTCTGACAAATGATAGGAAGAAGGCAGGGGTACAGGGATGGAAAGCTGGAGAAGGAGGCACCTGGTGTTGGGGTGGGAATAGATCAACAAGCAGAGATTGTGAGAGTGAAGTAGGGTTTCTGTTACCACAGTGGGAGTAGTTTATTGTATTCCCGGGTTTCTCAGGTCCCAGGACTAGTGGGACACAAGGTCTGGCCCAAGCTAGGAGTGAGGAGGAAAAGCCCAGCTCTTGCCCAGTGAGCCTGCATCCTTAGTGCCAATAGCAGGACACCTTGCAGTATGTTTTTCTCCCTGCAGAGAAGGGGTAACTGGAGGATCATGACAGTCCTTCAGGACCCCCTTCTTTCTTCCATCACGATCAGTCTCTGGAGAGAAGGGTCTTAGGGCAGAGGGAAAGAAACAGTGCATCTCTCCCTCCTTACCTAACTGGATACACTTCTGCCTGTCTCTATCCAAGTTTTGTCCTTCCTTTCTTCTCAAGCTTTCCCAAGTCCCCTGAGTAAGGAAGGGCAAAGTTGCAAGTGTGGTGGATCAACTTATAACGGGAAAGGGGGATTCTAGAATCTTACGGGGCCTAAGGGTGGAGGAGAATGTTTCCCTAGGCCGAGAGTTCTCTACTGCTTCTAAATATGACTTGCCCTGGGAGAAAGGCATGGGATGGGCAGGAGCATATCAGGTGGAGAAAGGCAGGGGAAAAGGCCCAGTCCCTCAGCCGTTGTTAGAAAGTCACACCATTCTGGGTATGTCTCTGCCTCCTTTCCTTGGGACTTTTTTCCCTCAAAACTTTGACTTTTCAAACTGAGGACAACTCCACATATCTCTTCCCTCCCACCCCAAGGTATGCCTTTTGTGCCAACTGTCCTGGGCACAGTTTGTACTATTTGTACTAGGTGCAAAAGCTCTTAGCTATAGGCTTCACAGAGATGTTTAAATTCATGACTATCGAAATTTGTGGGATTAAAAGAAAAAAAGACAGATTTGAGAGCAAGTATGGTTCATGTGAAATTTCAAGTCAAGGACAACTGAGGATAAATTTGTGTTATACACTTAGCCTTTTCCAAGTTATAATTTTCCCCATATAAAGCCCACAAAGTCAGAGCCAACCTTTACAAAAAAATCAATCGGGGTAAAAATCAGTTCTCAAGTTATACAAGTATAAAGGCAGAAAAGTTGTTGGTGTAAAAAGATTCAACTACTTCCAAGGTTCTCCAAAAATCCTGTTAACAAAAATGGAAATTTGTGGGCTATTTAACAAAGTACATTGTGGAAAAACTTTTAACAAAACAGTTTGATGTGTTATAGTGAATTTCTGTGGCAGTTCTATAGTGACAAACATTCTCACATTTGTGAAAAGTCATTATATCTAAGAATCTGAGTTGTACCCAAAGATATCCAATCAACCATTAGCATCTAACAATTTAGTTATGTAGTTAAAGACAGCACATAACTGACATACGGTAATATAATTATGACATTACTAGGTAATAATTCACACTACTTAGTCAAAATTATATGAATGTCTCACTACTAGAGGCAGAGTGTATTCAAAGCTAGGCCCACAATATCCAGGTAATTTGGTAGTAGAGTTGTGGGGAAAGTGAAAGGAATAGCATGCTTTGCACTTTTATCTTATTTGATCCTAACTCACAAGAACCCTGGGAAGTAAATGCTACTATTATCTCTGTTTTACAGTTGAGAAAAGTGAGGCAGACAAGCAGCCAGAGGTTAAATGACTTGGTCACACAGGTGTGTCACACAGCTAGTAAGTGGCTGAGGGTGAATTTGAACTCAGATCTTCCTGACTCCAGGCCCAGTGCTTAACTCACTGTGCCACCTAGCTGCCTCAGTAAGAGATACAAATAGTCCGGTTTATTTATACAATACAAAACAATGTGAGTGACAGTTTTTGATTTATCTGACTTGATATTTCACATTTTGTAGGTATAGCATGTATCCTTTAATAACTACTTTTAAATAAGTACATAGTATCAAGAAACTTGATATATAATTGTGCTAATTTACTATATTTCTTAACTTCACTGTATGGTAGTTATACCTAGATGGCATAATGGATAGTGTGCTAGACTTGATGTTGCGAAAACCTGAATTTGAATCTTATCTCAGACGCTTACTAGCTGTATAGACCTGGCGAAGTTATCCAAACTCTCTCAACCTTGGTTTCCTCATGCATAAATGGGGATAACAGCACTTCCTTCACAGACTTCTTGTGAAGTTCAAATGAGGTAATATTTGATAAATGCTTTACAAACCTTAAAACACCATAAAATGTCATTTTTGTATTATCACACACAAACACATATAACTGTCAAAACACAGTAACTAAATTCCACCTTTACTAATAAGCTATGAGATGCAATTTTGTACATTATAGTGAAAACTAAAGTTAAAAAAAATTTGGCAGAGAGCTATAGTATCATAGTTTATGTTTTGAATACTTTGACAGATCCATAAATGTATTACTGAAGGAAAGCAGGTATGGGGTGGAATCACATTCTCAAGCCTTTAAAGTTGAACCTGGTATCCCATAATACCTCAAACTCTATTAGGATAGTTTTTCTACTAACTTCTTTAAAAAAAAAAAGGGAATAAGGTAAGGGAAGCAAAAGATCTTGTGGGAAAAATAGGGAATTCTGTTTTGGACATTTTGAGTTTGAGGTACCAGTTCATTAAGCACAACTTTAAAAGCTTAGGGATGTAACTCACCAACAGACCTACTCCCCATGAAAAATCTATCATGGATCTATCATCAATTGGTCTAAACTAGGTATTTTTGACCTTTATGATAATTTGCTGCAGTGAATTTCATAAGCATGTCATTTATAGTTCTTTAATTTTCCCTCTTAAGTTTCAATTGGTGTCCTTCAGTTCTAGTATTTCAGGATAAGATAACCTCAAAAATGGTAGATGCTTAATAAGGATTGACTAATTAATTGGGTAAAGAAAATCACTCCACTACAGCCCTATATTCTGATGTTTCATCCTAGTGTGGCAGTGAGCCTAGGTTCTGACTGTGCCAGGAAAATAAACATGCTGGAAGCAGGAAAGGCTTTGAGTACAGTCTCAGTAACAGACTGTCACCCACTAATCACTAGAAGGTTATCTAGACCAGTGGTGTCAAACTCAAATAGAAATGGATCCCTACAAGTCACACACTGATTTGAAAGCCACAAATTATCATTATCTGTGTTTTATTGCATTTTTATTTTGTTAAACATTTCCTAATTACATTTAAATACGGTTCTGGTGACACTCAGACAGGCCACGAATTGACATCTCTGGTCTAGAAGATGAATTATTTTGGTCACAGTAATTCACAAAGATTGTTTACTAAGGTGTAGAAGGGTTGTGAGAAACATGAAATGGTCAGTCTTTTGAAGAAATGATAAATAAAAGTGTTAATCTTGCGCATGCCATGTATGATTTTATACTATGGTTATACTTCCACTCTCAGTCTATCAATTTATTTATTAAGCATTTATTATGTGTTGACTACAAGTTAGGCACTGTGCGAGGAGCTAGAGATACAAAGACAAAAATAAAAATTCCTGCCCTCAAAAAGCTTACATTCTATCAGGAGGAAATAACATGTACATTATAGAGTTCTCTTAAACTTGGTATTTTTGATCATTTTATTTTGCAATTCCCTGGATATTTTCCATTTTAGAGTAGCTTTCTTGAGATTCGGTGACTTTACCGGTACACAGCGCACGGGATACAAGTGCATCTGGTTTTGTACAAGGTAAGATAATGCCTTATTTTTCAACTGCTATGCTGCTTATGTCTCACTTTTGGGAGGTTAGAGCAGCACACTGAGCTGATGTTTTCAGGGGAAGTCTATGAAGATTCTCAGCTCATTTTCTTGGGTCATAATAGATAGCTCAGAGCCCTTCATAATATAAGCATAGATTCAATTATTAACACTGTTTATCTCTTGTCTCTATCTATGAGAAAACAATTCTCCCATTCAGCTCACTTCTTCTTTTTCTTTTTTTTTTTAGTATGCAATCTTTTGGAAAACCTAAAATCTAAATAAATTACAACTAGTCAAATTTCTGTTATCTGAATGATTACTTACATTTTCAAGAAATCTAACTGATTATTCAGGCATATTTTCCTCTAAAGAAACAATGTCCTCTTTTTTAAGGACTTACGCTTGCTTAAAGGATCCAATGAGCCTACCCTTTCTTATGGATTCCAGCAGCTTTCCTGGATTGAAGTGATCCTCATTTGTCTACAGTTCCTAATAACCACTCTAAAGTCCTTCGAAAGGAATGGAGTCACAATGGCAATCCACCAGCTCCCTAGCACACTGTCCATTTAAAGTAACAGTTCACAAATCTTGGCCAGAAATTTCACAATTCAACTCTTGAACTACTTCTGAATACTTAAATCATTTCAGGTTTAAATGATCTCAATGATTTTTTCATATCTAGTCTGTCAATTACTTCCTGTCTAGTTGAACAGTATATGCATTTAACAATATTCAATCTTATAAGTCTGCATCAAAAGACAATGGGAATCTTCTACTTTTTTATTTCCTATTTTTCTCAGAACAATCATTTTGTACTATGAGGATTAGGACATCCAAGTGACTAGTGAAAATTAAAATAAACTCATATTAATAAACTTTGCAGTTCTTAGAAAGCTGTAATTTCAATTCCTTTTTGGCTCCCTTAATTCACACATGATTTCCTATATTTTGTGCTTTTTTTTTTTTGAAGGAGTCATCTTTCCTCTGCCTTTATCTTTTTATTTAGGTATTTAGACATGCATAGATTTATTTCAGCACCCATTTAAAAAAATCTATTAGCATATATTTTTCTAGGTCACTTTAAAGATGGTATTTAAAATAATGTGCCAAATTCCTAATGGTTATTTAATTAGTCTTTTCATTTTTTCCACTGTCTGAATTTTGCCAAAGCTATATTTTAAAAAATTGAATAACAGTTAACTGGCATTATTATTTTTACCTCAAGAATAATGAGTGTAGAAAATATATATATATATATACACACACATTTTTTTTTTTCCTGGTGAGGCAAGCGGGGTTAAGTGACTTGCCCAGGGTCACACAGCTAGTAAAGAGGGTAATAAATACTACTTAAATGGTTGAACAAAATACATTTCCTATACCAGTTCTTGTCTACTACTTAGGATCAAATCTATTATATTTTTGTTCTTTTTAGTTTCTAAAATAATCTGTTCTAGGAAGCAATTAATTGTCTCACCCAAAAATCTTTCCCCTTCATTGTATCCTAATGAGATATTCCACCAATCTATATGTGGATAATATGAGGTATTATCCAATTTTAAAACCTTCTAAATATAGTAAACATTTCTAGTTCAGCCTTACTCTCTTGGTCAGATAATCTATAATACATTATATTCCCTACCATGATATTTTAAGAATTTAAGTATGGAATTCCTAAAGCACAGAGATACTGTAAGCTTCCATTTTTCAGCACAGTTTTATACTAAAGTATTAGGATCACAGAATCGCAGACTTAGAGCTGGAAGGGATCATAGAAGCCGTCATTTCCAGTCCTCTCACATTGTCTCTGATATAAAGTACTCTTTCTTTAAGGTAATGCCCTTTCATTTACAGCAGTTTGTTGCTAAGTTAAGTCTACCCTAATGCTAATTCTGAAACATGCAGCTGATCATTTTGAATGTGAAAACCTATAGTGTATTGGAGATAAGGATCCCAGAACTGTTCTCTTAAGAGATAAATGTAACTTATTTAGTTATAGACAGAAGATGAGATTTTGGTTTACTAACCATAAGCTAAGATAGGTCCAAGGAGAAGGAAGTGGAATGACAGATTTTAGAATCGTATCATTAAGTTTGAAGCTGGAAGTGATGGATATTCCTGCTGCTGCTGAGAAGTAAGTTCAGCTGATCAGACAAATAACTGAGAAGCAAAAAATCATAACAATCACTCAGCAGATCCACTAGGCTGAGATGTCATGCCTAGTAAAGTTAGTTAGCTTGGCAGGGGAAGCATCTGTTCCACACAGACATTATATTTACCAAGGAACTTGTATGAATAGTTCCTGAGATGGAAAGAAGACACTGAAGTTTATCGTGCCAGAGTTGTTACTCTGAGGACATTAGCTTTCCTTACTTTTGTTCCTATAGCAAATTTCAATAAGTGTAAGTACGTCTACTCTCCCAGAAATACTAAATGCATTGGTGGGAAAGTATGATCAGAGCTTATGTATGGATTGTGATGTAATTATTATTCCTTTATTTACTTTAATGTATGACTACACTTCTGATTACATTATTTTTTTCTTTTGCTTTAATGTTAAGTAAATGCTTATATTTAAGATCTAAAAGTATCATTTTTGTGAATGGCTGGTTTTGTATAAATAAAGTACATTAATGAGTGCTGAAGAGCTGGAGTCAAGAAAAGGGAGAACGTATTCCCCCACACTGTGTTATCCGTAAGATTCTAAGAGAGTTTCAACGTAAAATAGCAGTTGGTAGTCCTTCTCTGAGAACCTAGACCTGCCAGTGTGAGGAAGAGGTATAGTAACTGAAGCAGCACAAGGAGTGGGAAGATACTCAAGCATCATAGGTGAAAATTATGAGGTACTACAGTATGCATGGCACCCCATACACCTGTCAACTCACATGCAGTGATATATTCCTTGTTCCATGTGACTATCTTTAGATATCCGAAGGAGATAGGTTCTTTTTATACCCCTTTGGATAATATTAAAAATAGCCAGAGTTGACTTCAAAACTTTTTTTTTTTTTGAAACTAGACCTGTGATTTAATCTGTGTAGGGAGCTCTCAGTGAGGAACTCCTTGACCGATGCAGATCATCACCTTCTCTGAAACTTATAATCTTAGCGAGTTGCCTGGGGCACTAGATATATCTTTACGATCTAAATTAATAGTGTAGAAAATCACTGTTATTAACTGTAGTATTGCTTGACTTCCACTAGAGGGCACCATGACAACACAACATGCATAAAGGGAGGTATTACAACCTTTTCCAAATTAGTAAGGTAGAGAAGCTGGCCAAGTTTCTTCTGAAGCTGGGATTTGGCAACTGCCTTGTCATTCAGTAGCTTTACTCGATTTTGTTCCACCTAAAAAGAAAAAAAATCTTGTTTCTACATTCTTATAAAAATGGTGAAATCATTTAAACACAAACATTAGCTTAAGTTAGGTAGGGGTATGTGCACTTTATTGTGTTCTAGCTTCATGAAAGTAAAATTTGCAAGCATTGAGAACACGTAAAAATGACTGAAATGTTTAGGAAAAGGAACCTATCAAGAAACTGTAAAAGAATTAAAATTATTTTGCATGAAAGTAAAGATTCTGGAATCAATTAAAATAATTTATTTTTCAGATACACAAAGCGATTTACAATAGACAGAACAGATATCAATTGTTTCTCTTCTGGTAAAGAGCTAAAATAATAAAATATGAAATTTAAGTAGAAGATTTTCCTAGCCTTGAAAGTGTGAGAGATATTGGGGCAGAGGCTAAAATGCTCATATGACATCTTTTCTGAGACATCTCCTGTAAGGAATTATCTATCTGAAATGTGCAGGTATAATCCTGTAGCATATAGGGGTCTGTATACCTAAACAGTAAGTGCTATGCATATAGGTAGGCTCACTAAGACTTATGGATTGACTAATTGCTTATACTACATAACCTCCAGGTCTCTGGAGGTAGAGTTTTTTGAGCAATACTCCCTGGGTCAGATTCACTGGCAACCTACTTCATGAGGTTCAATTATGTGAAGAACAGGAGGATTGGGCTTTGGTTCATCAGGATGCCGTACTCTTAGACGTTCTGTAGCCATTGCAAGTTCATCAATAGCAGACACGTGGTCTCTCAGAACCATCCAATATTCATGAAGCAACTGTAAAAGAAAAATCAGAGCAAAAGTTGTACACTGAACCCTAAGGTGGGATAATTCATCAAAAATCTTCACTGAGATCTTTAGGGAAATCTAGTGTTATACTAAGACAGAAAGCTCATGGAGTTCTCTGGCCATGTAACATTTAGGAGATGATACCAAGCATCTATATAAGATGGATCATTTATTTCCCTATCCACACAATTTTAGTTATGTAATTTGGAAACTGGCAATTCCAACATAATATAGATGAGCCAAAAAGGAAAGAAAAACCAAACTCTCAGCTAATTCAGATTAGTAATGTGGGAAGCCTGGGCTAACACCCTTTTCACAAGCTAAACATATGATATCAAGTTCTTACTACAGTTTCCTTGACCATCCACTGCCCCTTCAAGGCCACTTTAGCAGGGAAAGCGCACCACAAACTGTGATCACTGCATCAGGTATGGATCTGGAATCGAGGTCCCCGGATCCAGTGCTAGCACTTCCTCCCCTACAGTACCAAGCTAGGGAGTACACAGCAATATAATATACAGTAGGAAAGTGCTGGACTAGGGATTAGACAATTGGGCTTTGGTTCTGGCTCTGTTGCTAACCAGCTGTGTGACCAACTAGGCAAAGTCACTTCCACTTTCTGGACCTCGTTCTCCTAATGTTTAAAATTAAGGGGCTAGTTTAGACAATCCCTATGGTACTTTTCAACATAAGTAGATTAGGAGCACCTGGAAGGTTGGGCCCATATCTTATTATTCAAATATTTCCAAGCACTCTCTCTTCATCTCCGCCTCATAGAATCCTTTACAAGAATTTTAAAAATCTTCAGATTGACTGACTTGACTCCTTTGTGACCATGGGCATGATAGTTACTTATCTTTTCTGATCCTTAGTTTCTCCATCTGTAAACTGAAAGGATTGGACTAAAAAGTCTCAAAGGTTCTTTCCTGTTCTAAATCCTAGAAGTTTTGGAATCAATATTATTTATATAGACTGTTCAATGCTCTTTTATAACAGAATCACCACTATAATTTCTCTTGTCACATGCATTTTTACATAACCCACAATATCTTCCAGCTGACTGATCTAACTGCAATTATCTGTTCAGAATGCTCATTTCTACCCAAATTTACCATTTGTATATTAAACTCTATGCAACTGCTTCATTGATATAAGGTAACTCAACTACTTTGATTATCTTTTGTGGCTATGGGAATTTTTTGTCGGATTTTGAAAAGCAAGTAAACTGTTTGTTTTTCTACAAGTAAGTCTTCAGATTTCCAAAATTGTGTCAAAGGAGCCTATGATTAGACTCCTCCTTTCTCCAATCCATTTTAACAGAAAATCAGGGGTGGTGGCAACCAGTCCATTACATTAGAGTGTATAAATACCTAAAGAACAAGTGCTATTACTGGGGAACAAAAGATAAATGGTTATGTGATTCTGCAGTTACTGTAGGATATAAGATAAATGCATAGGTGTTTATATTAGAAAGGTGAGGGAGAGAGAAGTTCCATAAGAAAGTTTACAACAAAGTGCAGTGTACAGGTATGAAGCATTATTTTTGGTTGGGGAGAATTGGCCCAAGTTTCTTGGGGGAGGTAGTATGTGAGCTGAGACATAGAACTTCCTTCTCTTCTCCAATTTCATAGAATTGTACTAAGAGTGGCAAAAAGACATTAACAAAGATACATATGCCTGAAAAAGGGGGAGTGGCTTGATGAAAATTAGACAGACAGGTAGATATATAGATAAGTAACCAGAGCTAGCATTTGTTCAGTACTATACACTTCAGGTAATGTGCTAAGCATAAGAGATATAAATAAAAGCCAGTCCATAATCTCAGTCTGAAGATGGAAGACAATACCTAAAGCAATATAAATAAAAGGGGGTGAGAGGGTAGAGCTAGCAGTGCTATGTCCTGCAGATGTCCAGGAAATGTGGGTAGAGGCCTGGAACTGAGGAAGTTAAGGCCAAAGCAGGCCTCACAAAGCCTAGGATGGCTCCCAGGGCACAGTTCTAATCTCATATGGAAAGTGAGTGGGGATATTGGCCCAAGTGGGGTGCAAACAGAATGGAGATATCTGAGAAGAGAAAACAGATGGCCAGCCTGAGTGGTACAATGGCATAAGAGAGAACGAGAGGAAAGCTTCCAGTATATTCAGTGAAAATGATGGAGAATTTTTGAAAAGACAAGAATCATACAGGATGAGAAGGCATGGAGGACTTCTAAGCTCAACTGACTAACTGCAAATTTGAATGTGAAATGAAAGGCTTGATATTTACATGATCATTTCACTAGTAATTTGCTCATAGTCATTCAATAAAGGAGAGAGACGAGAACTGAACCTATGATTCCATTAGCACAGGGAACTTCCAAGTGAGGAAACTCTCTTGACCACAATGCATGCAGGCACTTTCTCTATAATTTAGAATTTTAGAGCTGTCTATAGTGCTGAGAGAATAAGTGACTTGCCTAGATAGTCATAGAGGCAGGGCTTAAACCTAAAACGTAGGTCAGCTTTGAGGCCAGCTCTCCATTCGCTCTGCTATGTTGCCTCTTGATCATTCAGTGCAGAACTCAAATAGAAAGTTTTCCTATTCTACCTTGTATTCCTTCTTCCACACTTCAAAGAGTTCCATTGAAGTATTCCCTTCCTCAATGAGACTGAAGTCTAGTCGGTGTGCTTTGGCAAAAGACAGGATTGCTTTCAAAGAGCGCTCTGTCTCACTTGTTGCCCACAGTCCTCGGCTTGTGGTAGGCAGCCGATCATCCACCAGGCCTTCTTCATCTTCTATCATCTCCTCAAAAATTGCAGTTTGGCCTTTCACCCTTTGAAATACACAAAGGGAAAACAGCTTTTACCATGATACTTCCTGAATTTGCCCACATTCTGCCTTTGATGGAGAAGCAGTATGACTGGGCAATGGTTAGGGGGAGGGACAGGAGAAAAACAAAATCGTTGAGGTTTGCTCTGTTGCATTCCCACTATAGCTACAGATATTTCTTTGTTTGGCTCTGGGAACTACAGCAATTTTGAAAATTATCAGTCTGTGAAAAGGGAAAGAGGAACACTGGAAGGAGGAGGGGAAACTGTTAATAATTATGATGATACTAATGATAGCTAGCATTTACATAACACTTAACATGTGCTAGGCACTGTGCTGAGTGCTTTAGACATATTATCTCATTTGATCCTCACAACAATCTTCAGAGGTATGTACTATTCCCGTCTTATAGTTGAGGAAATTGAGACAAACAGATGTTAAGTGACTTGCTCAAGGTCACAAAAAAGTGTCTGAAGCCAAATTTAAAATTAGGTCTTCCTGACTTCATTCCTAGCACTCTATCTACTGCTCCATCTAAATGCTAGCTACTATTATTATTATTTGCTTCAGGATTAACTACTACCACCTACACATTGCCTAGTGGGGTCCTTAAGAAGCAACTTCAGGTTGGGGAACCCCCTCTTTCTTCATTGCCTCCTTAGGAAAACAAGCACCTGACTTCATTTTACCACCACCCCCTTAGCTGATGAAAAAATGTTTAAATAGCAGATGATTTATTGCTGGGATTGCTCACTGCAAGTTTAATCCATACCACTTAAAAGTAAAAAGAAAACTATACATTAAAACTCTTTTATTGGATATCTTTATATTGTCTATAAAAGAGTTAAAGGTTTTAAAAATATGTGTATATGTACATAATGTATAATATTATGTATATATGTATACATATACACACATATGAATTGTGTGCACATACACTCACAGCTACTCTGGGGGGGAAAACTGCATAACTTATAAACATTGTTGTCAATCCCTTTTTTCCAATGGTTAATTTTCCAATAGAAAACTTGGAAGCACGGTCATTGTGAAGAAAATATTATCTCAGACTCAGAACACTATACCCCATATTTCATTTTCCCAATGGGAAATAAGCAATCAGAGAACTTACGTGTGAGAAAATAGCTTCGACTCATACTCTGTGAACAATTCATCAGCTTTGCAAAAGACACAGCTGGAAAAGAAGAGATCACCAAGAAAAACATTTTCAGCTGTAACTAGCAATCAGGTAATCTACAGGAGAGTGTTGCGTATTGAGCAACCCACTTGTTCACTTTAGGAAAAACACATGCACATATTAAATTTTCAACTATTTTGTGGGGAAAAAAATGAATGCAAATCACAGGTTGAAAGTGGAAAGTGTTTAAGGCTTGCTTAAACAAAACAAGTTAGATCAATACAAAGTTTACTTTTCTTTATAAAACCAAATGAAAAAGCTTCACTGCTTTAGTCATTATTTATTCTATCGAAATAAATCTAAGATGATAAAGGCATGATAGCTCAACACATGCTTTCTTCTTTTACCTACTTGTTGAGGGGCAGTCTGACAGGTCGAAGGTGGCAGATCGTGGCAGCTTCAATGACATCACGGGACGGAGGTCCCTCCAGGTTCTTCACGGCCTCTCTCACAAGTTTCTGGAATTTCTTTAGCTCTTCCATTTGTGTTGTGAGTAAGTACTGAAGACCTCTGCAGTCCCGGAACCTGATCCCCAACAATAACAACAACAACTGTAACACCACCACCACCACCACCACCACTGATGACAACAAAGCAGGTCAGGGTGCTCAGGCAATGGTTGCCAACCAAAGTATTACAGTGGCATCAGAGATGCGGTGAAATTTCACCCAGGAACCCTGTAGTATGAAGCTTTTCTGAACGCCTGGCATTCAGAAAGTATTTATACATTCATTTATACTTATCACCAAGTATTGATGGAATGCCTATGTGCATAACATGCTAGTAGCTAAAGAGGATACAAAAGTACTAGATGACACAGTCCTATCCTAAAAAAGCACACAATCTTCAATTTAATTCAACAAAAAATCATAAGTTCAGATCATGTGCTAGGCCTCAGGGATACAAAGCCAAAAGCAAAACCAGTTCTTACCCTCAAGAAGCTTAGGTTCTACTGGAGAAGTACAACATCTATTCTCTGATGCATTCCTCCCACACCTTTTATGAGAGGACAACACCGTCATCAAAAAGAAACGACCTACAACAGTGCTGTCAAACTCAAATGGATATTGAGCCAAGAAACTGCCCATAAGGATCCCTGTGGGTCCCATATTAGCTTAGAAAACTACATCATAACATTATGTTCTATTGTATTTTTATTTCATTAAATTTTTCCCAGTTACATTTTAGTCTCCTGCCCTCTGGAGTGATGTGTGTTTGACACCTCTGACCTACAACTATCTCCCATTACTTTCCCCACTTCTAGGCAATCTTCTTGTTCCTCTTTTTTAAGATGCAGGAGAGGAAGGAAACTGCTAGAACTTATGTGAAGACTGAAAAGCTTAGAAGAGGAAAGAAGTGAAATCTTTCATGAAGATAAATGACTAAGGGGAATACAAACAGGTAAGAAAAGTAGGTAAGCAACAGGGGCTACAGATATAAAAAAGACGCTCAGAAAGTTGGGAATGAGAAAGAAAATAATAGACCCTCTTCGGAGGCTTATAGCTACCAAACCTAGCATGGAGAGAGAAATAATGAAATATAAGTACTGCAGGATATCTATAAATTTAAAGATTTTAATTTTCTCTACTCTACTTTCCAAACTCTACAACCCTTTTAAGGCCCATCTTGAGTTCTGTTCCCTTCACTTCTTCCCTGAATAATACTAATCAACAATGGCTTCCTTATACCAAAAGAATTTGGGTCCCATTTGTTTGAGGGAGGGATTGATGGGGTTGGGATCTGGACTCCAGAAAGGGGCTATAATTCCTATGGACTGGCCTTTCATAGTGGCTACACCCAATCTCCCAATTCTCTGTTACCCTTAACCTAGCCTAGCCCTCCACTGTTACCTCCCTATGGCCCCAGGCCACTTCCCACCCATAATCCTATCTAGGCTCCATTCTCCCTTGGTCACAGTGGTCCAGGTCCCTGGAGTTCTGTTACCTCACAGACTACTTGGCCACCCCTAGATCCCTCCCATAGTCTTTCTCTATATAAGGTCCATCCTGTCTCCATTAAGATGCTCTGATTCTTATAATCTAGCCATTGCTCAGATTTTTAGAATCTAGCCAATAGCTCACAGGTTCTCAGATTCCTTAAGAGTCTGGCTAATATGGCAAATCTTTAATAAACCTTGTTTTTGGCTGAAAAAAAAAAATGGCTTCCCACTTTCCTGACTTTCCAAAACATTCACCAATTACCTAATACATGTTGGCATTCAATTATATTCAAATCTACTCTCATAGTATTCTTTGTTTCATGTGCAAATTTTGATTGTTTACTAAGACTGTAAACTCCTCAAGGTGAAAAAAACAAATAAAAACCAACCCAAACCATGTCATACACTTCCATTTTATAGTATGTGTCAATCCCAGAACTTTCTAGTGTCAATCCCACAGAATTTGTTTGGAGACGTCCTGAGCAAAAACAGGTCTAAGAACTATTGGTTTAAGAAATCATAAACAGAGGAATCTCCTTTCTGATATACTAGAAGCATATTTTTGTCTTTTAAGTATGAAACTTCATGTTTGAATACAAAGGAAAAGTCACTTCATATATATTCTCTTAGGTATTTACATATTCGAGTGATTGGATTAAATCTTTCCTCACTTCTTCCGAACTACTGAAACAGTCCTCTAACTGGTTTCCCAGGATCAAGTCTCTTCCCTACTCCAATCCATCCTCTCCTCAAGTGCCATGGCAGTTATTCTAAAGTGTAGGTCTGGGACTCCCTATCAACTCCACCTTCCAGAACCAAATACTAAGTGCTCTGTCTGGCATTCAAAGCTCTTCATAAACCACCCCTTTTCTACCTTTCCAGCCTTCACATACTTTACTCCCCCACTTCCACATACTCTGTAATCCAGCTATGCTGGACCACTTGCAGCTCCTCTAATATAAGATTTTGTCTCCCATCATTCTGTCTCCGCTGTTGTTCCCCCACTGAGACTGCTCTGCCCACTCCACTTTGCTTCTTAGATTTCTTCTTTGGCTTCCTTCAAGGCTCAGCTCAAACCTCACCTTCAGCAGGAGGCTGGTCCCTCCCAGCTGCTAATGCCATCCCCTTTTAGATGACCGCAATCTACTCTGTATGTATCCCCTATGTACCTAATTATTTACTTTTTGTCTATCCTCTATTGGAATGTATGCTTCCTGTGGGCAGGGACTGGTTTTTTTTTCCCCCCTTTTTTCATATCCTTATTGCTTAGTGCAGTTACTGGCACATTATAAGCACTTAATGAAAGCTTGTTGACTGTCAGAGTTGAACCAGACGAACAAAACCATAATCACAAAATAACTCTGCACTAGTATCTAAGTGTATACTCTTTTCTCACTTAGATCCTATAATAAAGAAAAGTTTACTTAAAAAAGATGAGTGGTAATCAACTTAATGGGACAAAACAAATGAGAAAAACCCCCATGATTTTGCCTTTGAAAACACGTGCAATGACAAGGAAAACAATTCTGAATCTTCAGTGGCTTCTTATCGCCTCACTTTGGCATTTAGAGCCCTTCAGAATATGCTTACAGTTCATTGATTTAGAGGTGAAAGAGACTTCATGTTCCAAGTCTGAGAGAGTGACACTAAGTTATAAGACACTAAAATGTCTTATTCCAATATGTCTCTCACAGTATCTGGTTTACTAATTGCTCACATTTTTGAGTGGAGGCCCTGAAGGCTTTTGTTAAAATGAGGTTATGTTATCTGAGAAAGGGAACTTATTATCCTCCATTAACAATATCACCAAGCATAAATCTCTAGAATATCTCCTCTTATACAGCAAGGAATGAAACAAGAGACAGATATATTCTTATGGAAGGGCATAAAGGTTGGGAAAATGGAGTAAGGTGAAATGTGATAATAGAGGCAGGTAAGTGGCACAGTGGATAGAATGCTGCACAGGGAGTAGGGGAAACCTGACTTCAAATCTCGCTTCAGATACTAGCTATGTGACCCTGGGCAAGTCACCTAATCTGTGTGCCTCAGTTTTCTTATCTGTAAGATGGGGAAAATAATAGCACCTCACAGAGCTGTTGTAGGGATCAAATGAGGTAATATTTGTAAAGTGCTTAGCATATTGCCTGTCATATAGTAGGTACTTAATAAATGCTTATTTTCTTCCTTCCTAATAGCAGGGAACCTTGACAGTCAATGGAGAAGCATGAAAATTGGGAAATGTGGGAAGTGTGTGCATCATCAGAAGGGGGTAGAACAATGACAGCAGGATGGAGTGGGACAGGGGAGGAGTTCCCAAAATATGGTTCAAGGATAGCCTTGCTTGATTACAACAGACATAAGAGAAACAACAAAACAAAACTCTGCCTGGTACAAAAGAAAGAATTTGTCAAGGCAGAATGGAGCTGTAGAGAGAAAGGCTAGAGGCTGGAGAGGTTTCTTGAAGCCAAGAAGACCTGGGTTCAAGTCTTGCTTCTGACACAAATCTCCTTGTAAACCTGTCAAGTCAGGTAACCGCTCAGTGATAGAGCAATTCTCTAAGACCACAAGCTGCAGAGAAGAAATCAATCTGTTTTGGTCTAAGGAGTTCATTCATCTGGGAGGCTCCCTAACCAATGAAATCATAATCCCAGTTCCTCTCCATATCCCTTCTCTGGAACACATCTGTGATGATTTCACTGATGTAAGAAACTCTGCATATGGGTGGTTACACTACAATTTAGAGCCTTAGAAGTTTTGCTAGGCTACTGAAAGGTTAAGTGATTTTCCCACAGTCACCTAGTCAGAAAGAGTCTGAAATGAGACTTGAACATCTTCCTCAATTATCGACCAGCTCTCTCTTCACCATGTCACACTGCCTCTAAGAGAGGCACTGAGTACTTACAGGCAGGTATTCTCTGAAGTGCTATGAGCAATTTAGAGATTAATAAGATAAAAAGTCTGATCTCAAAGCTATTACAACCTAACACATATTTAGTTGGGTTTTTTCTTATTCTTATCTGTGCTATTTTTCTTACTTTTCCGCCATGGAAAGTTTACTAGTTTGTTGCTTGTAGTTGCTGGTTATTTCATTCTGCACACGCTGAACAAGGTCCTCATCAATAGCATATTGAATTGCTGATTGGATCACATCTAGCCACCAAGGTGAGCCTGAACGAATCTGTAACGGAAACCGCCCCCCCCCCGAAATATCAATCATTAAATTAATATTTACTGAGTGTGTACTATAAGGCTAACACTACGCTAGGTAATGTGAGAGTTACAAGGAAAGGATAAAACAGTTCCTGCCCTCAAAGAGCTTTTCTGCTTATTTAAAAAAAAACCCAAAACAATGATAAATGCACTAGGAGGCTGCACAGCAGAATGGAGCAAGTGATAGACCTGCAGTCTGACAACCTGGATTCATACCCCACTTCTTTTTTTTACTAACTGTGTGACCCTGGGCAAGACACTTAACCTCTCAGCTTCAGTTTCCTCATCTGTAAAATTGAGAGACTAATAATACTGACAGTATCTACCTCACACAGTATTGTAAGGATCAAATGACAATGGAAATAATGATAATAGATAACACTTCTAAGGTTTGCAAAGTGCTTTATCGATATTATCTCATTTTATCTTGACAAAAACATTGAAGAGGTTAACTGACTTGCACAGTCACATAGCTTATAAGGGTTCGAGGCTGGATTTGAACTCATATCTTCCTGTTTCCTGGTTCAGTGCTTGATCCACTGATACCTAGCAGCCTAGCACTTAAAAATTTTTACATGCTACATAAATGTTGGGCAGCTAGGTGGGGCAGTGGATAGAGCACTGTTACTGGAATCAGGAAGACCTGATTTAAAATCTAGCCTCAGATACTTACTAGTTTTGTGACCCTGGGCATGTCACTTAATTTTGTTTGCCTCAGTTTCCTCATATGTCTAATGAGCTGGAGAAGGAAATGGGAAACTACTCTAGTATCTTTGCTAAGAAAACCTAAAGAGGTTCACGAAGAGTCAAATACAACTAAAATGACTAAACAACAACATAAGTGTTAATTATTATTATCATTATCATTATCATTATTTTTATTATGACTTGAACAGGGAGTTCTTTGTTTAGTCTACTAAAAAGAACACACTATTGCTCAAGCATTCTGGATATATAAATATTGTTTACACGTATGGTAAAACTATTATAAAATATACCATTGATTCTGGACTATTAAGGGGCAATTATTTGATTCTGGCAATCTATAGTCCTTCTTTGTAGCTATAAGAAAGGCAGTATTTCTGATCATGTAATACCAGTGGCATAACTGGATTTTAAACAATATAAAATCTAAGATAACCTTATGGAGACATTCACAAAAATGCAAAATGTTTGGTGAAGAAATATGAAGAGAGAAGTGACTCAAAACTTAAATAAAAAGCAGTTATTTGTTTATCTGGGGCTTCCATTTTTACTTATTTTACAAAACAGAAAGCTTGAAAAGGGCAAGATGTTCTTGTTTCACCCCAAAGTGGGTGTAACATTACTGTTTTTTCAACCCTAAAACATCTTTTTGGAAATCACTAAGTTTCAGGTTAAAAATGCATCAAAATGTTGGGGATTCACACTCTTAGAAAAATCAAATACACATAATCTCACAACCCAGTATGTCAGATTCACAATATGTCAGATGAAGTGGTGACATCACACTACAGGTGATATTCATAAAACACTATTAACTTTTAAGCCCTTGCCACATAAACATCCCATAAAACAGCAAAAGCAGGAATTGTCATCCCTGGTTAAGTGGCAGAACTGGGATTCAAACTTGGGCAGGTCTTCTGACTAAATACTGCAGAACAATCTAAAAACGCTGATGTCCAACAGGATCCCCAAACTAATCATGATTACAGATTGCCAAGTCAAACCGTGACTTAAATCAATAACCACAGCTTGCCTTCCTCTGAAGCTCCCGGATGTTCTGCAAAACTGGCTGTAAAGCTTGATGGGCTTCTGCAACCTCTGCATTAGATTTACTCATGTAATGCTGTCTAAGTTGTTTGGCCTGCATATAAAAATAAAAAGACCTTCATTCAAGAGCTTGAATGCAATTTTGTATGATATTTTAAGAACATTTCTACAACTGATATTAATTAGCTACTTAGCTTAAACATGTATTCTAGTGTGTACACATGTGTTCTTATTTGAATGTATGTGGCATTACAAATACAGCTGGGATTAGCAAAAGGAAAATAAAATAATGAATTACCTTTATATAACAAGCATCTTTACTCCTCTACTTGTTCTCTATTTGTATTCTTCTTGTCAAACCCAACATTTGCAATATGACTATTTGTTGAAGGCTAGCACTATCCAACAGACTAAGCTATCACAATAAATAATGGGCTCCCCATCACTGGAAGTATTTAAAGAGAATTTGAATAATAGTCAAGGGTGCTTAAAAAAAATCCCTGTATTGGGTGATAAGTTAGGTTAGGATTATAGATTTAGAGTTGGAAAGAAATTTTTCAACTTTCCTCAGGGACATATGGAGGACCCTGCCCTACTGCTAAGGGTTCTTAAAAGGCTGGAGTAGCCTGGTGGGGAAGGAAGGGGTGAAGCACCAGTTGTTGCAGGAGATAAAAGATATTGAGGATGGGGGATGGAGACAAAAGGGAAAATGATAAGCAGGGTATATAAGATTTAACTCCTTTACAATGTTTCTTGCCCTGGTTTGAGGTAAATTTATTTGGTAATAGTAAACATTTTAGAATATGGAGAAAAAGACCCTCTCCCTAAACCAAGTCTTTTACAGCTATGCCTTTATAAGTTCTTAATTTACTGCTTATTTCCAAACTATGCAATTGGCTACCAAAAGTCAGATTCTCTTCTACTTACTTCAGATTTCTTCTACTTACACAGTGGCAAATAGCTCAAGAGAAAAAATAATTACAGGTGCTGACATTCTTCATCTAATTCAATCCCAGGAAAATTAAAAGCAGTAAAGGTAGCAGGTTAGCTATAGTCAATTCATTTGGAAATGTTGCATGCACTTAAAAATACAATTATAAAAAGCATAAAATCTGAAAAATCCACTCTTCCAGAGTGAATAAAGATAATTACCTCTTCCTCAAGTTTGCCATCTCTCAAGGTAGGAGGTATTCCTGGGTGTTTGGCTTGTAATAATTCCATCAGGTTGTGTGTAGAATGAAGTCTCTACACATACAAAAAAAAGCAATAACTTTAATATTCCATTCATGGAACAAGTGAGCAGCAGCTTACTCTGGGAAAACTTTTTATCATCATATACTGAGCACCAATAACAGTAGGCTGTATAAAGAAGAAACCTCTCATATGAACAGAATTTTAGTGTCAACCTTCCGAAATGCTGAAATCTATTTCATGAAAAAACTTCAGAAGTCAAACTTCTATCAAATCCAGGTGGCACCAGTGTGCCCATCTGTTTAATAAAGCTTCCCTCATTAACTTTATCATTTATCCAATCTGTAGTAGTAACAAAAAATGTGATGGACAAATTAAGAGAGAGACTTTTCAAAATAAGAAAGGTCAAAGTCAGATGGACAGGTTTTGTTTTTCTTTTGTTTTGCCATCCAATAACTTTTCTTTTACATACATAGGTTACAGGTTTTCACCTGTTTTTCCCAATAGTAGTTATAGATTTTATTGTAATCAATGGACTGCAAGACAATTAGCCAAAGATGGAGTTGTAATTTGTGGCCATAGTAGAATGGAGTGAAGTTTCTAAACGCCTTTCTCTGACCCTATTCTCAGTCAATTAGTCAATAAACATTTATTAAGCGCCTACTATGCTCCAGGCACCATGCTAATCACCACACTTGGAGCAGATGAACTAAGAGGCCACAAATTGGTGCCATTCGCCCTTTGTCCAAAGTGATGTGAAAGTTTAAAGGAACAGTAGGTAATATTCTTCTACGTTATGTCAGATTCTAAGATGCAGAGAAACAAACATAAGATTAGTAGTCAGAAGAATTGAGTCTGAAGCCCTATCACTGCCAAGACTTACTAGCCTTGGACAACTTTTGGCAAATCACTCAAGCTCTCCTGTTCCTTATCCATAAAATAGGGATAATAAAGTGTATACTACTTAAATCAAAGGGTCATTGTGACAATGAAACAAGACTGTATGCAAATTACTTTGTGAAACAGTGTTACCTACTATTATTATTATTAACAAAGTATTAAGATATGCTTGGGTAAGTTGTCTTTTTTTTTTTTAATAAACCTCAACTGAAATGTTCTGTTGCTCTATAGTAACATTTAGTGGCATTCACAAGTTATCTCAAACATCCAGGAATCCTTATTTAGAAAAAAAAAAAGAAAAGAAAAATATACAAACAAAACTGTTAAATATTTACTTACTTGTAATGAATCAGTTTTGAGTTTGTCTTTGTGTTCCTCAGATGAACGTAATACTTCTCTGTATAGGTCCACTGCTTGGGCATACTCATCTGAAGAATTAAAGTTCATTCAAAGCCAAGAATACATATTTTTAAGCTAAAAATTTCCTTATCTGCTATATACATAAATGGCAATTACAATTGTAAATGTTGTAATTTAATATTCATTATTTTTAAAGAAAAGGAAACTTCACAGACTCCTGGAGTTAGGAAGGATTTCAGAGATCATTTAGTTGAATTCTATTATTTGAAGATTTAATTTAATTTGGTGTGGGTTTTATTTTAAAAGATAATGAAAGGCCTTTTATTAATTTTAAGGAAATACAACAATACAAATGATGATACTGGTAAGAGAAGCTAAACAAGTCCAAAATTTTTTTACCTAGCTTTTAATAATATAAAAATAAAAAAAAAATACAATGTTAACCTGCAATTAATTCCAACAAATGTCACTTTTATTAAAAGCTAAAATGATGGGGGAGAGGAGAGGAGCTTGTGATGCACTTGAAATTAATGGCAGGCTCCATTAAGTCAATTTTAACTTGATTTAATTACAACATGTCATATAATTTAGCAGATTTTTGCAATATCCTCTTACCAAAGCACACAAATGTAGAAGAAAAATAATTTCTGTTTAAATATTATTTTAAATGCCAAAGTACTTTATCATTAACTATAGCTTAGTAACTTAAGACTTTATCATTTCTGCCAACAGAACTCACAAGTAGTAAAAGATGATTTCTTTTTCTATCACTTAGTATGAACAGCTCAAATGGATGTGAACAGATCATTTCTAGGTAAGCCGAGACTAGTCTGGTGATTTGAGTGAGAAATCTCATTTGTTTTTTGCTTTTGGAAGCAAGTTCAAAAAACAAAGCTGAAGACAGCTGAAACAGCATCTGTTCTGCTGACATCATCGCATGATTTTTACAAAACTGCAGCACTTTAAATATTCATAATTCACTGAGTTCTAAAAGTTTTATTCATATAAATAGTTGGGGAGGTTTTTTAAAATGTCATTTTAAATATTTTCTAAACACACAGTTTCCATCTTGTTTTTATTTTTTTTTAAAAATCTAGTTCCAGCAGTTTCTTTATTCAGGACTTTCCCCCACATAATGGAATACAATTTCAAAACATGTTAGTCATCCAGTTCTTATTCAATTTGGGGATGTAGATCATCAGGCTAATAATTAAAACAAACAAACATGGATAGCCTTTGATAATTTAAGCATAAACACCCAAATAATTATGTTACTTCAAGATGGAGTTACATAGTTACTCTTGTCTAAATTCTTAGGGATTTCTGATAAGGGTTCTTCAAAGAGCACATGGATTATACAAGCATTTATACCATCCTTTTGAAGATGGAGAGTTTTTAGTTAATCAACATTTCCAAGTAAAATGATAGACTACCTTAAGTTATTTCCAACAAACTAATATACATGTTTATTTTCTAAAGGAAGCACAGTGATTGTAGCAGAATTAAAAAGGAGTGGAACTTGATTTTAAACATGCAGTCTAACATGCTTTATTTCTGCAAGAAAATATAAATGTGTAGAAACATTCCAATTAAGAATACTGCCTATTTCTGGCCATCTGACAGCACTAAAATGTCCAAATACTCACTCTACTTTACACTGCTGAGTCCATTCTTTCTATTAATATCTGCAAAAATCATGCTATTCAAAAGCTGAACATAACTTAATGAAGGTATCAATACCTATATGTATTATATTTGTGTATGTACACTCACATTTCATATAAACAGACTAATATAAAGGTTAAAATTCATTTTAGAGTTCCATAAAATTAGTTACAAGAGAAAAAAACCTTCAAGTTTCTTTATAAAAGGTATGTGATTCTATGTACTTTTCCAGTAAATTAACTCTATTAGATACGTAGCACTAAATTCCTATTAAGCTTATTTCATTTACCATTTCATTTTCAAACAAATGTAATTTAGAAAAGATATCTTTAACTGAGAAGCATTCTGGGGCGGTTTTCTTTTGATATTTAACAACAGCTGACTATGACTCTAGCCCACAAAAAGGAAATACACCATAAAAAGAGAATAAAGAAAAATAATTGGAACAGAAGACACTGAAAACATGTTATTGGCCAAGCTGGAGTTATGAAGCCTGCTGATCTTGCCATTTGCCAAATATTTTAGAATAAGATCAAATGATCTACTTTTTCTTGCAGTTATAGGCTTTTTTTTTTTTAACTTTCTCAATGGGGTAAAAAGGAAAACAGAAGAGGGAAGGGAAAAAAATGTCAAGAGAGGAAGAACACTTAGTGTACCTGAGTTACATAATCACATCTCTCACTCACACACACACACACACACACACACACACAGTTCTAAAGCCCAGAAAGTGTAAATTTCTTACACTTTTGCTAATCTACAAGGGAGAAATGACTACTTTAGACATTTTGAGCTGTGCATTTTGACTTCTGTCAGACACTTCACAACACAACACTGTATTACTTGTGACTATATTTAATGAAGGCAAAAACATTTCAAGGCATATTTTGTATTCTACTTGTTTTCATACCTGTCCAGGACAGGCAGTTAGAGAAAAGCATCAGCCTTGTAGTGAGATGTGGGTTTACAACCCATCTCAGACCTTTGTAAGCTGTATGGCCACGTACAACTCTTAACTTCTCAGAACCCATTTTCCTCATCTATAAAATGGAGATAATAATATTTGCACTATCTGTCTCACAGTTATTGTGAGGAATACATTATATAAATCTGAGTTGCGGATGTTATTTGTCGCAGCTGCTGCAGTGGAGAGCATGAGACCAGCTCAGTACTCTGTAACCCGGAGACGCATGGATGAGGTGGGAGACAGCAAGGTGGCAGAAGCTCCGTTTATTGAGTGCAGATAGCTGTCTTTTATAGCCCTAGTGATGCATGTTCAAAGCGTGATCCCCTTGTGATAGCCAATCATCAGGTCTGCTGGAGCTCACGTCAGGACTCATCTCCCAATGAGAGGAGAGCCAAACCAACCGTGGGAGCTGCATGTCAGCAAAGGAGAGGTCCTGTGAGACTTCCTTATTTTTGCCACGCAACTATGTTGTGACCCTCAGCTTCTGCTGATAGAAGCTAGAACTCCCATGGGAAAGTTCCCTCAACAGAGCTCTCATGAGACCGTGAGACATTCACCCTAACAGTTATTCTTCTACTATATTCCTACTCTGATGCCTCAATGAAGAAGAAAGCTAAGCCTGGTTTCTCAAAGGCTATGTAAGATCACAAGGTCTGGTAGGCCCTACCAGCTGGAAAGGTTTGGCATGTAGAAATATATCTATTGTATGAGGACAACCTAAACAGGTTTTGAGGCTGAAAAGTGATGAATTTTTTGGCCACAGTAGCTTTCAAAGACTGTCTGATAAAATTATAAAGAGGTTGTGATCTTCATTCATTGAGGAAGTTACCCACAGCAATGGAATCACAGATCTCTGAAGTACTGAACTACTGAAATATTATTTCTAAGTTCTCTCTTCTATCTCAATTATACCACTTTTTGTTTTGAGACTGGCAGAAAATGATATTCAATGTAATAGATGCTTGTGCTCATTTTAGATAATTCTAAACTAATTTAAAGGAAAAAATTATTTTTTAAATTTGCTAGAAAAGTTCTAACTACTTCCTCATATGTTTGTGATGACATCTCCACTAAACAGTCACTTGGTGTTGGCTTTCATTTCATATCATAAACTCAAAGTAAGATAAAAGTTCTGGGCCTGGAGTCAGGAAGACCTGAGTTCAAATCTGGCCTCAGACAGTTATTAATTGTATGACCCTGGGCAAATCACTTAATCCTGTTTGCCTCAATTTTCTCAATTGTAAAACGAACTGGAGAAGGAAATGGCAAACCACTCTATTATCTCTGTCAAGAAAACTCAAAATGGGGTCACAAAGAGTTGAATACAACTAAAAAATGACTAAACAACAAAAACATTTCCACCCATAAATTCTGAAGAATAAAATCCTAATTAAGTTGCTGTATGTAAAGGGTGGTCACCTGCTGGACTCTTGATGACTTCTAAGGTCTCTTCCAACTTTAAGCTTCCAAGAACTTAACAAAGCAATGGGTGGGCACTTTATGTTCTGATTTCTCTGAACCTATATTGTGTTCTCTGAGATATCTGGGTTGATGTTATGCATGAGATTTTAAGACAGGGAGGGAAAACATCCCCTTCTTAGAACAACAATAATAACTGTCCACACATGTTGATTACAACAATGAGAGCTATATGAAGGTGGGATGGGTTGCCTTGGTAGGTAGTACGTTTCTTCTTCCTAGAGATCTACAAGCAAAAGATGACTATTAGTCAGGTATGTGTGTGGGGGAGGTCTTCTTTGGGAGTAGCTGGGCTTAGATGGTTTCTGAAGTTCCTTCCAATTCAAAGATTCTGTATTACTCAGTTTGCAATATGGGAGAGGTGCTACTGTCACTGATGGTTGCAGAAGATCCTAAACAGTCTCTTAACAAGGCCAATGAATTTATGCCTCAGGAGTCCCTTCTCTAGCACTTCAAGTGTCAAATCATAAACCTTCAACATTTTCTGCTAGCTAGATATAGCCTGCTGCATATGACTTACCTATAGCCTATCTTGGAGTTAAAAAAAAACTTTTTTTTTAAGTATGCTTACAGAAAGTAGGGAATAGTAAAGTTTTCTGCATCATCCTTATTGTACTTAGGCCTGGTGCTTGAGGATAAACCAAAAACTTTGCTTGGAAGAAATGAATGGCATAGGATATGTTTGATGTATATATCTTACATATCACCTTGTCTAAAATTGTTTAGATTGCTGTCTAGTCAAATACTATTTCACACATTTTTTAAATAACTACATTTTCCTTTGATTTAACTTTATATTTTTAATAATAAAATTACCTGAACCAAAGCAAATACTGTTTAAGAGTAGGTGGGAAAACGGAGAATAAGAAAAGGAAAACAGTATTAGCTTCAAAATCTAACCTAAATCTCATGAACAGGCTACAGAAAATAGCCAAGGAAGATAAACGGGTGAACTAGAGGGAAGGAAACATAGAATTCATGCTAAGGTTACTATAAAGCTGAGTAAAAATGGTGAAACTGTCTAATTAGAAGGCATTTCTATTTGTTTGTTGTCTTCTGGTAATTCTTTGCCAATGACAAAAATTATTACACCACTATTAAAAGGTCAATTCCTTAATTGTTTTGTGGTTTAACAATATTTCTAGGCTAAACAGCACAAGGCTTCACAATGCCAGCTGTAATAAAAAGTTACTACTGATTTTGAATAGGCTGCAAAAGGAGACATCTATAATATTTATTTATAACTTATTAAAGTACCAAGCTCCACATTATCTCCTTCAGAACTTTTTTTTAAGGGAATCAGAGGTAACAAAGCAATCTGCTTCTACCTTTAATGATATGGATGCCAGCTAGGCCATTAAGAGCACAAACCAGTTGCCGATGTGCTTCTTCACATTCAGTTCGACATTTCTTTTGCAGTGAAGTCAGCAACTCTTCCATGGTCATGGTACTGAAAGAAACAGCAGCTTGGTCAAACTTACACAGAACACACTCAGGTATGTCTTCAGTGATAGCAGTACAGCAAGCAAGAATAAACTATATGAATCCTGGAAGGGGAGTGAGGAAAGGAGACCTGCCAACTTATGATTCAACGGCTAGAACTCACAGGGCATCCTTCCCATGACCTCAAGGTTAGGGTTACTTCTTATAATAAAGCTCTACTAACTTTTCTGGCAAACAATAGAAGATTTAACTTCTTTACCAAAGAAAATAATGTATTATAAGCTTCACTGACTCTGTTTTGATTCTCTGGTTCATCACAGAGGTATTGGGAAAAAAAAATTTTTAATTGACATTTGTACATGTGTATACAGAGACCATATGCCAATTATCTTGTCTATTCTAGGAATGGCCCACTGAAGCAGTAGACAGGATTATCACAGAAAGTAATACATCACAATCAATGCCCAGAAAGGAGCATCTATCAAAACAGCTCTTTTTTTCCCTTGTGTCCAGAAAAGAAACCAATTTATTTCCAGTCCACTATTATATCTAAGCTATAATAGATAAGAAATGTTTCCTCATCAAAATCAATAAAATTTAAGGTAGCACTTGGAACATTCAATAGCAAATATGTATATTTAACTAAGACTATTCAGTTACTTCCTGGGAAGTAATATTCATCCAGGGTTAAAGGAATTTTGTATTTCTGTTTATGATGAATATTTCTTCTTAAAACCAAAGGGGAAAGGGCAAGTTCCTTGAACCACTACTGCTACCACAGAGGGCCTATTAAATGCTCCAGAATGAAAATGACCATATTTGCATGATGTTTGGCAACTTCACAGGGTTCAATAGTATCACCAAGCAAGAACCAGCATAGAAATCTAGAGAACACGAAGGGTTCCCTACACGTGGCAGAGACGTGAAATTCACAAATAGTAAATTCATAAATAGTAGGAAGAGGGAAGAAGTAGAAAGTAGACAGACAATCCTCATGAAAGTAGAAAAAGAACAACCATTCAGGCTTGGGACTGAACTCAGTTATCTGAACAGAAGGTAGTGTGACAGAGTAGGCAATTGGATTCCAAGGACCAGTATTAGAATCCTGGCTGTCTTATCTACTACTTAGGGGACACTGGTGAAAATGACTTCACTTCTCCCTGTCTCAGTATCATCATCTGCAAAATAATGGGGGTTGAGTAGATGATTTATAATGTCTATCCCAGCTCCAAATCCTATTAACCTTGGTTTCTTTTGAAACAGAAGATGTAGGAGAGGGAAAGTTAATTTGGACAACAAAGTAATGACTCACCATGGGAAGTTACAGTGGGGAAAATGTCTTAAGAGACAAAGAAAGAAGAATTTCTGTAAAAATACAAGTGGGGGCATTCAAAACCCCCAAACACCTTTTATGATAAGTGCAGTTGTAATGCTATACTTGTCAAATAGACAGGTACTCAGCACTACATAACCAAGAAGTAGAGACTGACACCGAATTTCAACAATGCCATTGATTTTCCTTGTAACCAGGAAAAGTTATCTTTCTTGTCTTAGTTTCCTGATTTATAATGCTATTTGCATATACAAATCTGTATATATCTATGTAGATATGTGTGTATATATAGATCTGCATTCTAAATTGAATGCTACATTTATGGGACAGTAGGCTTAAATGCAGGAAAAGAATGAATTGTTTACAGCAGTGATGTCAAATGCAAATAGAAACGATCATAAATAGGGATCACCATAGGCTGAATATTGACTTAGAAAACAACATATTAATATTATCTATGTTTTATTGTATTGTTATTTTGTTAAATGTTTCGTTACATTTTATTCTGATTTGGGATGCGCTTGGGAGTGTGGTGGGCTGTATACTGCCTGCAAGACACATATTTGATACCTCTGATTTATAGAAGCTGAATGTTCAGTCTCTCAATCAAAATACTAGGTGTCCTAAAAGTTAAAAAATTTTTAACTGTTAAAACTTTAACAGCTTAAAACTGTACTAAGCCTTTTGGGACACCTATATATCTCATTTTGTAAAATTATTAGTCATTTTGACTATTGAAGCATTGCTATGAAGAGAGGTCTCCTTGGCTTATGGTCTATTTTCCTCTTGCTTTTAAGTTTTGAAAATTTAAGGGCATTAAAGACAAAAGCTACCAAGGCAGTACATTTAGAGAAAATAAAATAAATGCAAAAGATGAAATTTCTTTGAGTATTAATCATTTTCCTAAAACTACTAATTGCAACAATCGACTATGGCTTGTAATTGAGTTTAACTGTACAAATTTGATATGACCTATTATAAACATTAGTTGCTTTGAGAAGTTCAAATATATAAAAATTAATAATACTAACAATAACAATAACACCCAATACCTAAACTATATGTAGCACTTTATACTTTTAAAGTGCTTGTAAATAAATTCTCATTTCATCTTTGCACCAGTCTGTTTTACAGATATGGAAACTAAGGCACAGATAGTTGAGTAACTTGCTCACACAACAAGATAGCAAAGATTACAATCTAAATCTAATTTGTAGTTTAGATAAAGTAAAAAAGATTTCAATAAACAGATTTGCAATAGAGTAGTCTAGTCATTCTTTACCCTAATAGTATGAGGGTTTGAGGCAAAGGGTGGGTCAGGAAGAGTCTAATTTGTACTTTTACCCCTAGAGTGATCACTTTAATGAGTCAATATTCCTTAAGTATTATCAGTAACAGAAATAAAAGAATTATAAGTAAACCTTTTTTGCAGTGGCAAGAATTCTCCTCGAACAGCCTGTGGGTGGCAGCAAGCCTGTCTGAGTCTCAACAGCGGGTAGAGAATAGATGTGACGGTCCTCCTGTCCAGGCTGCTGAGTTTCAGAGCCCAATCAGATATCTTTCTAAGCTTTGCCAGGGCATCCTGACAACACACCTCATGCTGACGGTGATAGAAATGTCTTTCCACTGGAGAAAAGTGAAGCCAGTGAATATCTTCTGTCTGGGGGGGAATCTGGATCTGAAAATGAAAAGCAAACAAGATATTCCATGGAACATTTTTTCCTCTACAAGGATACTGGTTGTTGTTGTTTTTTTAAACATCCTTAAAAGAAAACTAAAAAATTTTACTAACTTGGTCAATTACATCCTTCTTTGCAGACCTCCACATTATCTTGGCAATAAGGTCGTAGAGGGGTTGAGGATTTTTCCTGCAGTAAGGACGATACAGAAGTTGATCCCACCAGTGTTTGACCCAATATGGATCAACACCAAGGAATAGCACTAACCCATAGAGATCTAAAAAGAAAGGAAAAAACAAAGTCATTTGTTTCTATGTTTCTTTGTTATTCTTTAGAAGCACTATTTTCAATGGAAGTTTGTCTTTTTTTTTTATGAAATTATTCATCATTAGTTATACAGGGCACAACACTTTTCAAGGAATTAAAATGCATATTAGACAGGGCCTTAAGGAGTTTATACTACCGGAGTACAACTTCAATGTGGTACGTGGTTATATATATGATACGCTAGAAAATTTCCAATTATTATTCTAAAGATCCTAAGACCACAGCAAAAAGAGAAATTCAACACCTATTTAATCCAGAAGGCTAAAATTCCCCTAACATGTAAAGTCAGAGGCACACTTGCTAGAGACACGGGAGATTCTAGTTGTTGAATGAATGAGTGGTCTTAAACTAACACAAAAACCATATACAAAACACAATGTCTGCTGGCTCAGAAAAGACCAACTAAATGGATAAGGATGGTTCACAGAAAATATTCTGCCTCTCATTTTAAAGATTCAAGCTAAAAACTATTAAAAGAATTGTTGGTAGCTGGTACTGATTTTAATTTCCTTATTAATACCAAAGAAATTGAGTTATAGTTAAGAGAATGAGTCCTGAATAAGTTATTCTAAAGCTGATATCCTAAAAACCTCAGAAAAAGCTAAAACTGAGTGAATATCAACAGGAATTCACGTAGGCCACACTACAGAGCACACAGTGTGAGGGGAAGGGAAGGAGCATTTCTGCCTTACCTGTAGTTTCCAAGTGTTCTTCAAGGAGAAATAATCATTCATAGAAATCATTTGGTAATCTTATGCTACTAGATAATATGTACTATGATTTTGAACTCTTAATTTTCAAATGTCTGAAAATTTTGATGCTGTCATAATAAACAGGCAAGAGATTAAAGTTGGGCTTTTTAACAACACATTTCTATAATTTGTTTCTTTAACTAGATTGTAATATTCTGGAGGGCAGAATCTGGATCTTATGTACCTTTGTACCCCACCTGTCCCAATATAATGCCTTGAACATAGCAGGCATTTAACAAAGATCAATTGCCTTAAATGTTTAATTCAAAAGATTTACTGCCTTGCTGCTTTATTTCATAAGCAAAGATTGGCAAAACTACAGATACTTTATTAGTAGAGGCTATATTTTAACAAACATTTCTATAGTACTACTGGATGATGAATGGAAAAACGTGAGGGGGAAATGGTTAAAAATACATTGATAAAAAACAAAAGACCACAACAAGCTTCCTTATTTCCTAGAGTACAGTGATAGAGATTCTGCTCTCATTTCCCATGAAAAGGGTACTGAAGGCAAATGTCATATGGTTTAACATCTATGTCTATTATGATACTGTCCATTTCTGCCATAAATAAACTTGAGCTAAAATCTTTATGAACTTTTCCATCTACATATCATTTCAGTTTTTATCTCATGCCTCAGGGCAAGATGCAAAACCCCTAAGTGTAGTTCAACCAGATAAAAATGTAATTGGGAAATGTTTAATATGATAAATAAAAATATAAAACAATTGATATCCAAGTCAATATGCAGCTCCATTTCAATTTGAGTTTGACACCACTACCACAGAGAATAAGCAACCATCTTCTCTAACCTGAAGGTGTCTTTGTAGAAGATTTTAAAAACACTGAAGGCTAAGATGGTTATATCATCAAAGGCTCTACACTCAGATTAAAATAATTCATTTAGCAAGATTACATGGAAATTAATCTTTAGGATGCTTTCTAAAAATCTAATTACATGGAAATTAAGGAAAACTAAAAATTGAGTCTAAAAATTAAACTTCCATAATAATTTTCCTATATAAAGATTATGATTTATGACTCAAACACTGGCTTAAATTTCTGAACTTAATATTACAGAAAACAAAGTTTGAAAAAGAATTTAATAAATAATAGAGATTATTTCTAAATTATATATTATCTTGGCAAACTTTAGCTATTTCAAACATTTGCAATTTTGACATTTTATGATTATTGAACAGTTTCTTAAATTTGTGCTTTTAAAAATCGGGGAATTAACCTTTAAATAAATACCTTCAAGCTGTCCATATAAATTATGTGTTTTTTTTTTCTTTGCAATAAGGTGAAACTGTCTAAAACTGATCCTTATATATTGGTTTTCAAATTCTACTTTATGAATGCATTCAATGTTTTCAAGTTATAGTAACTGATATTCACAATTTTACTTTAATAAAATTACATGGATAGTAGCTATTCACTTCATACAAGGACCACTGACTTGGAGATGGAAGGCTCCTTAAAGGTCATCTAGTCTAAACTCATTTTTTGATTCTATCTTCCTGGTGGTCATCATCCTACATTATCTTATATCTCTCCTTCCCTTCTTGACTAAATTCCTTGATAAAGCCATCCACACTAGGTACCTCCACTTCCTCTCTTCTTACTCACTTTTAAAACTTCTACAACCTGGCATCTGACTTCATTATTGGTCTGCAACTCCTCTTGCCAAAGCCACCAGTGATTTTAACTTGACAAATATAATGGCCTTTTCTCAATCCTCATCCTTCTCTAAAACTTCTTGATGTTGTTGGATCACCTTCTTCTCCTGGTTCTCCTTCTTCCTGTCTGACTGCTCTTTTTCAGTCTCCTTTGCTAGATCTTCATTTCAGGTCATGCCTACTACAAGACTATATGAGACTTCTCCAAGATTCTGTCCTGGGCTTTCTCCTCTTTTTCCTCTATATTCTCACTTCACGATTTCATCAGCTCCCATTGGTTCAATTATCATCTCTATGCAAATGCTTCCCAGATCTATAAATCTAGCCCTAAATAACACTACTGTCCTTCATCACCAATTATTTGTTAGGTATCTCAAATTGGATATGTGGCAGACATTTCAAACAACACAGCCAAAATAATACTCAGTATCTATTCCTCTCAAACTCTCCTTATCTTTCCAACTTTCTTACTGCTGTAGAAGGTTAGTTCCAGTTGGGCAACGCAGTTTGTTCCTTTGTTCCTTCCTTTCTTCCTTCCTTCCCTCCCTCCTTCTCTCTCTCCTTTCTATCCTTCCCCTCCCTCCCTCCTCTCCCTCTGTCCACACAGGGTATAATACCCTTACCTGCAGGAACTCTGCCCAAAAGTAACATAAATTTTGATCCCTGAAAACTCAAAAGATATCTTGGGGTTTCTTGTCCAGATTTCTTTCTTAAGAACCATGCCTTAAACCCAAATCACTCAGGCTCTCATTGATTGGCCAATAATAGGTCCCAGCCCAAATCTCACTTGGTCATTGGGCCCTGATGGCTCAGAGTGAGAGTAAACAGTAAACAGTAGTTGTTTCTGTTTTGGCCAGAAACCCAGAGGGTTTTCCCCTCCCAGACTGATTTTTTTTTTTTTGACTAGGTAAAAAAGGTCATTCTTTGCCTTACTTCTTACCCAGGCTTAATCACTGAATGGGTGTTGCCTCAGTCAAACTGAGACCTGGGAAAGATCTTAACTTAAAAAGGTCAAGGTCTCCCACAGCATCTGGGGCTATCTGCAGTCATCCTGATTTCTATCTTGCCACTGGACCCAGATGATTCCAGAGGAGAAAGTGAAGTTGGTGATTTTGTACAGAGCTTCCTCACTTAAATCCAATTCACTTGCAAATCATGGCATCATCTTCTTGATGTCATGGTCCTCTTCAAGAACTAAGGGCAAACAACACCAACCATTCTCCTAAATACTCAGGCTTGAAATCTTCATTCCAATTCATTTTCTACTCACCTGCCAAAATGATTTTCCTAAATTGCAGTTCTGACCATGTCACCCCACCCCCTCAAGAAAAACAACAACAACAACCACCTTACTCAATAAATTATATAGTCCTTCTACAAAGGCTATAATTCAGCTACAATGGTCTGCTTAATATTCCTCTCACATGACATTCCATCTTCTGACTCCATAAGTTTTTATCAGTCCTCTGGCTGCTAGGTCCTTCCTTCTAAGATTACTTTCTATTTACACTGCGTATTATTTTATATATTCATAGCTATCTGCATGTTGTCTTCCTCATTAGAATGTGAGTCCCTTGAGTATTATAGCTGTATTTTTACCCTTTTGTTTTTTTAAATCTCCAGCACTTAAGTGTCTGTCTGGCACTCTGAAAATGCTTAAATCAGGCTTACTGAGACTGACTGAGATGAAGAACTAAAGGCCCAGAGAAGTTAAAATTGCCCAAAGTTACATATACTTGATGTTCAAACAAGGATACAAAGCCAGGTATCCTGACTACATACACAATGCTCTTTCTAATATAAAAACATATTTTTTGCCCAGAAATATGTTCTAGAAAAATAGTTTACCACAAATACTATTTATAACATTACCAGCTATTTTTAAACATTTTAAACTTTTTTCAAAAGGCTTTTTCCACATCTAATATTCCTTCTAATTTTTGATTTCTGATCCCATAATGTATAATTCCTCTCTCCTTACATTTAACAAGATTAGCAATTGTAAACCATTTCTGGCCAATGAGGAAACAGACACAGAAAGATAGAACAACTTGGTTAATCGTCAAACTAATTAGCGACAGAGCCATAAATTAGAACAGAGGGTTCCAAAGTCACTGATCTTTCTACCACACTTTGCTTCTCATAGTGACCTCTTAATCTCTTAATTACTGTCTTTCATTTCCCATTGTATGTTCCACGGGCACTTCAAGCCAATATAGCTTAAACTTAATTTATCAACACTTCACCAAAATCTATTTTCTTTTTTTGATTTCTCCTATTTTTCACTGGAACCAACATCTTCCCAATCTTAGAATTATCTGATACCTCTTTCTCTCTCATTCTACACATTCAATTAGTAGACAAATCTTAGAGATTTCATCTTCACAATACAGTGAGCTGGCAGCCATCTCCTCTACACTACCACCCTGGATCCTATTACCTTTTACCTGAGTTATTGCAATAGCTTCTCCGCTCCTAATCTCTTTTCTGTCCTGTTGATGCTACATACTACTGCGAAATTAATCCTGTTGATACACAAATTATTCTCGTCTCCATCTACAGCTCAAAAACTCATTCTCCTTTACCTACAGAACAAAGTGGGGCTGCCTTAGTCTGGCATTCAAATCTGACAAAACCCATGTTTACAGCCTTGCCTCACACTTCTCTTCCTTAAATTCACTATGCTGCAGACAAACTGGACTATTTACCATGTCCTCTGGCCTGTGGTAATCTCACTCCCATCTCAAATCACAGCCCTGGCTTTTAAAAAATTTCTCTTATATGCTTAGTAGATGAATAGGGACAGGGGCTGGATCTGTGATTTCACTGATGTAAGGAATTCCCAGATGATTCAGTTCCAGAGCACTGAGATGCCAAGGGATTTGCTTAGGGTCACTCAGGAAGTACATGCTAGATGGCACCTGAACTCAGGTGCTCCTGGCTCTAAAGGCAGCTCTTTACCCACCATGCCATGCTGTCTCTCCTTTTGTACTTAACCATTTTCAAATGTGCAGTATATTTTTGCATAGATATCTTATCAAGCTCCTTTAGGACAAAAACTACATCATCTTTATCTTTGCATCTCCTCCAGTGGCTAGTAGAATATGTTGCACATGATAATGTGCTTAATTTGTACCAAATACACAAATGAATCCCTGCTATGTTTGCAGTCACATATTTCAGAATTAATTTCACATCTCAGAAGTCCCAAGAGCCAAAATTTCCTTAATTTCTTACCATCTCACAATGCATTTAGAACTAATATGCTATGTGCAGAGGTTCTCTCTCCCACATGACACACTTTGTAAACTGCCTGTGATCGTGTTAAACAGGTGGTCATAATGGGCATGCTCAGATGCTTTGCTTCTCAAAGATTAAACAGATACTTTGTGAACACTTACGCAAGCAAGTGGTTATACAAAAAGGCACCACCTTGGGTTCATTATAAATAACCATGTCAAACAAATCTCATTTCCTATTTTGATAATGTCACTAGAATAGCTGATCAGAAGAATGTTATGGATGGAGAATACCTTGATTTCAGTTGGGCATCTGACATTGTACCTTTTAATCTCCTAATTTGTAATACAAATAAATTTGGGGTAAATAACAACCAGATAGGTAGGGTATTTGAACAAAGAACCCAAAGAATGTTGACTAACTGATCTATGCCAGCCCCCACAATCTGGAAACTGTCTAGCCTCATACCTCATATTATTCTCCTCCAAACAAACAGGACTACTCTTTTCCTTAACTCCCTCACCCCCACCCCAATGCAGTGCTGTTCTACTTCCATGCCTTTGTTCTGACTGCTCTCTGTGCTCATCACAATACCCTTTATTTCCCCCTTTTGGGCTGTTGAATAATCCTACCCATCTTTTAAAGTTTAATTAAAATGACACCCTATTCATGTAACCATTCCAAAACAATCATATAGGATATCAGATAGTAGTTTGTTTTGCAGTTCTCTAAAGCTCTTCAATATAATAGTCTATTATGTTTTTTCTGTTTGCCTATCACCACCCCAGACTGTAAACTCAACAAGGGCATGGATCAGGGATACTTTATTTCTCCTTTGGTGCCCAGCAGAAAGCTCTTCATCCAGTAGGTACTTAATAAGTACTTTGAATATATGAAATTATATGAAAGTTAGTTGTTTGCTATAGGACTCTTGCCCTATCTATTTTATGTCCACAGAGATATTTTTAAATCACTAACTCAGATGAAGACATAAAAGGCACGCTTATCAACTCATCAGCTGATGAAAAGTCAGGAAGGTGGGTAAAGTCAGATGAACTTTAAAACTTCTGAAAATATTCTTACAGGACCATGTGATGCTAAATAATAACCTCGCACATCTGCATTCTCTCTTTTGTCGTTATAACTGTGCCATCTACCCCGAGCACTAAGAAGTCTTAACCCTTCTTGAAGTATCTTCTTTTTCCCCTAAGTGAATACAACAAAACCAAAAACATCTTTTGTTTGTCCTTAGCATCAGCCTCAGCTCCTGTTGAGCTTGAGCACTCCAGATACTTTTATGGGATTGTGATATACATCCTCTGTCATCTTCTTGCAGCTAGGTGGTGCAGTAGGATAGAGAGCTGGGCCTGAACTCAGAAAGACCAGAGTTCAAAGCTGGCCTTAGACACTTACTAGCTATGTGACCCTAATAAATATTTTGGGATTTGAAGATATACCTGCTTGTTACTTTCAACATCATAATCCTCCCAACCCTGTTCCTGGCTCTCAGACTTCCGAACCATGCGGTTTTATCCTAGAACTTCCCTCAGTGCCTAGGGCCCCTTGGTGCTCCAGAACATGCAACCATGTCTTTGGTCTTCTCTATATGGAACATATCTCTGAAAGATCCACTCCTTCTGAGTAGATCCACTTCATTTTGTGGAGGGGCCCAGGCTAGCTGTAATTTCCCTGCCATCATTTTGGGCTGTGCCCCTGGCTCCCAAACTTCAAAACCATGCCTCCAAAGCCAGATACTTTGCCTGTTGAGGAATTTAGGTACTTTCTTTTAGCTTATATTTATATCCCCAACATTTAGCATATATTTTGCACATAATAAATACTTAAATGCCTATTTTCTTCCTTCCTAAAATAAGAATTAATGAGGGTCTTGAATTCAATCACATAAAAATAGAGGAATTTAGAGACACTTAATTTAGGGATAAGAGATAGTAACATACCGGTCAGCTTTCAGTATCTAAAGGGTTATCATGAAGAAGAGGGATTAGGATTACCCTTTAAATCTTGGAAAGAGGAGCAAAATTAAGAACAAATAGTAGATGTTATAGGGATAAGGAGATTACAAGGAAATAGACTGTTGGTCAATATAAAGAAATAAGTTCCTAACAATCTAAGTCATTCACAAAAAGAATGGGCAGCCTAGTAAAATAGTTTATTACTCAATACCGGAACTACTTAAACAGAAGATGGTTGACAACCCCTCAAGGAAGTTAGAAAGGGAAATTCCTATATTAAGTAGGAAACCTTAAAAGCCTCTGAAGACCCTTCCAACTTTGAAAAAACTAATACTCAGAAAATTTGATTTTCTAGGTAGAAAGGCTCAAACACAAGTGGATATTCAAACTACTTTAACTGTACTTAACCTTGAGAGGAAGCAAAAGATACTCCACAAAACTCCTTTTTGCATACATGCTTTTTCACTACATGCTGCCTCAAGCAGCATGAAGTAATAAAGACGTGGATAGATCTGGATTCATGTCTTCCATCTGCAACAGTCTGGCTCTGTGACCTTGGGCCGGTCACTTACCTCTGAGTGCTCTAAGTGATTCTCCAAGATAGTAAATTGCAGAGGAGGTGCTGACCTACATAGTTAGTAGGGTGGATTCTCATCTACAAGTTCCCTATATCAATGCAATCACAGGGCCAGCCCCTATTCAAGTTCGTATTCCTATTCTACCACCTTCTAGGAGTGAGTAAAATAAATTACCATTCTTTACTACTTCCTAGAGTAAATCATTACTCAACTTTGAATATATTCCAAAGTTATTTTTTGAATTTTTACATGTGTTAGGTAATAAAATATTTCTAATCAAAGTAGTGCTTTGCAGCTACAATTTATTTTCACAAAATAAGGATTCTTTTAATGTTGAAACAACAAGAAGATCATTGTTTATAGTATTTAAAATTTTTATGGCTACATATATATGTGTATGTATGTGTACACATACACACACAATTTTCCTTTTTTTTTTTTTTTACAGGTTCACTTCTAAGTCTTTGTCCACTACCAAAGACTTTGGAACGCTTAAGTTCCAATTATGCTCCAAAAACATGATGGGAATTGGCTTTGGGTAATGAAGATTTATGGAATATTGCATTATTAAATGGTGTATCACAGTTACTGTTTATAGAACTGCATGAATATAAACCTGTTGACTCATAATCAAAGATCTCATCTTCAAAAGGAAAATTCATGCTTGAGCTTATTTTTTAAAAAACCTGTATATTCATGTATGAGTAATAAGTTGAAAAAGAGCCAATCATTTGAATAGGGTTTAGCTTCCTTACTTTCAGTGAAAATATGAGAAAGCACTTTTGTAATATACAATTAAAATCTTCTACAAAAAAGTTAATCTTCTCAAACTAATATGCACACAAATACAAAAAAATAGAAAACACAACATATAAGCAAATTCTACTTCACCTTCTAATCCTCTCTGTACTGGAGTGCCACTGACACACCAGCGATTGATTCCACTCAAGCGCAGGGCCATTTCAGCAGCCTAATGAAAGGGAACAAGAATTGTGTGAAAAAAGCAAGAGTCAAAAGGAAATGACTCAGGAAAAAAACCATGAATGTCTGTACTCCAAATTAGATGTACATTGCTATTACATTTAACTGAAACTATATATAAATTTATATATTTTTTTCAATGCATAATCACCTAGTAGCTTCACAATCACGAATTCAGTTCACATTACACTATAGTTACAAAATTCTGGGAAATTAAATAAACAGGTATTCATATAAATATTTATATCTACACCTTTCTTTCTTTCTCCCTCTCTTTCTTGTCATTTTTTCCAACTCTGAACTGTATTTTACTCCAATCTACTGGACACAGTATACAAAATGATTCAAGTGTTTAAACGAGAAAGTAAAAACTGACCCCAAAAAATACCTTTCAGTCACATACACTGACATAGCCTAAGACACAAACAAATATAAAATGTTTATCTGCAACATTCTGGGTTGGTGCATGTTAAATTTTGAGAAGCAATTTCATTTTCTAGGAAATTAAATGCTAGTCAGAGAGATGACAAGAAATTCCCCTCCCCAACCCCTGTGCATACCTAAAGCTTTTCCATGACTATTTCTCACCTTTGCTGTGGTACACTCAACCATCTGAGCTTCATCCAGACAGATCCTCCACCATTCTACTGCTACCAGGGGACTTGGTATGGCCATATACCGCTTCTGATTGCGGAAGCGACGCCCATCCTCACTGTTGCTGTGGGGGATATCTACATAATTCAATTCTGACCGAAGGACATCATAAGTGGTGATAACTACATCCTGCTCTGCCAACATATGAGGCTGCAAGAAGCCATGTTTCTTCACCCCTTGATACACCTAGAGAATAATTAGCAAAGACACAGATATAGAAAGACTCATAGATAAGAAATGGAACATCTTTAAGCTTTCAGCTAATAAATGTTATCAGTAAGAGCCACACATTCTCTTGGTTCATCATACCTATTTTGAGATTATGTACTATATCAAAATGTCGGAAGGGACATGAGCGCTGAGAGTAAAATAGAAAGAGTACTCAACTCTAAGTGTTGGATTTGAGTTCCAATCATGCCACTATACCTCATAGTGGTATTGTGAGGATAAAAGATAGCTCCAGGGCTGGTGAGGCCCCTGGGGTCACTAAGTATAACTCTCTCATTTTCTTCATGAGGTAACAGAAATACCAAGAGATTATGTGACCTGCCCTTGTTCAGACAGGTAGCAGTCGTAATATTAACGCTAGAGAGTTCAATTTCTCCTACACAAGAACTGCTCCAAAGCCAACCACAATAAATAATGATTCATTAAAGACTCCCAGGAAAAGAGAGACTTCTTATTTCTTCTGGCTCTTCCTTCAGATATATGGATACTAGCTGATTCATCATCTTATTTATCATGACCCTTCATAGAACTGAATCCTTATTATTACAATCCACATTCCTATCTTCAAATTGAATAAGCCTTTTGGCTTTGTGATTAGAATTTCCTATTGCCCTTTAATTATTTTCATTGCTTTCTTTTGGGGTCTCCCTGATTTCTCCACATTTTCTCAAAAGCTGGCACCAAGAAAATGGGTACAATCTAAAAGGTGTTATCCAGCTGGTCTTAACTTTTTATTCAATGACTCTATCATGCCAACATTGCCCTGCGATCACTTAAAAAAGTGTTATAAAATGCCCATCTGAAAGGGAGAGCAGCAATAACATGCTTTTGCAACCTGGAGTTAAAAGCATTTTACAGTTTATAAGTGCTTTCTTCAATATTCAATTATTCAATATTCACTGAGAGGTACAGCTTCCGCGACTAGGGAAGTAACAGTCCTATTGAACTCTGTGCTGCTTAAGAACACATCTTAACTACTTTGTCCAGTTCCTGGAGCCACACTTTAGGAAAGGTAGTGACAAGCTGAAGGCTATCTGGGGGCAGTCATAATGGAGAAGAGCCACAAATTCACTTAGTCAGTCAATCAACAAAGTATTTGTTAAATGCTCAGTATATGCCAAGCACTAGAGATACAAAACCAAAAATGAAACAATTCCTGTTCTCAAAAATCTTACATTCTATTGAAGGATAAGTTGAAGGAACTGGGGATGTTTAGTTGGGAGAAGACTAAGAGGGACAGAGGGGGTTATGTGGAAGAGGACCATTATGTGGAAGAGGGAGTAGATTTATGATTGGTCACATAGGGCAGAACAAGGAATGATGGAATAAAGTGGTAAAGTGGTGAATTCAGGCATGATATAATGAAAAATCTTCCTAACAGTTAAAGCCATCTAAAAGTAGAATGGGTTGCTTGGGAGGCAATGAGTTCCCCTCACTGAATGTCTTCAGGTCAAGGTAGATGTCAAGTTTGCTGTAGAGGACTCTTGTTTAGGAATGGATTAAACTTAATAGCTGTTGAGATATCTTCCAGTTCCGAGTTTCTAGGAAGCTATGTGAATAGTTTGCACTGAACAGGCTCTCTAAGAAAGGTACCTCTTTCTTTTCACGGATAGTTTTTAATCTCAGAAAAATCAAAATTGCAAGTGATCCAAAGGACAATGGAAAGATACATGGTAGCTATTAATAAAGTACCTGGTACTCTAGAAGTAGTAGAAAAGATGCCATTAAAAACTTATGGCAAGGGAGTTAGGCTAGTTGTGAGAAAAATTAACAAATGAAGAAGCTAAATGTTAATATGGTTTCCTTGAGATATTTAAAAACCACAACAACAGCAACAAAGGAAGGTCTTCAAGTGAATTGAATGGATCCTAGAAGATCTGCTTAATAGCAAGGGTGAGAACTGAACAGGATGGGAAGGCCTGGCAGAACTGATGAGAAACCATGAGGTCTGCACTGATACAATATACTCATTTTGATGAAGTCACAGGACCATCTAAACAAGCATTCATGAGCTATATACTAGAAGGTAATTTTTACCTTGTATTTGTGAATAAAACTAATAAGTGTTTACATTAATAATAGCTTGTTTTATATTTTATTACATATAGCTGCAAGCATTATGATTCTCATTTTACAAATGATGAAAATCAGAATTGGAGTAATTCACCCATTTCCAGGAGCTGATACAAATGGGGGCTAGACTCACATCTGCATCTCTGAAGCCCAGTACTCTAGCTACATTAGGGCTGCCCCTTAACAATATCTCTAACAATGAAATATCTGGAATTCAGTGTGCCTTCCTATATATACTGTGGCACAACTTGATGTATTAAATGTGATATTTTAAACTGAACTCTTGATATCATTCCTTAGTTTTCTTGCTAAGAGCTCAAATCAAAAAGCTTTGGAAAGCAAAGGTCTTAGTAGTAATAATTTATTTATATTTGTAGTTACTCTAATAAGCTGATGAAAATTTCATCTGTCTATTTATCTGTATCTTTATACATCTAACTAGCATGCCTATATTTTGGCCTAATAGGTAAGTTAGTTTCACTTAATCCAATCAATAAATGTTTATCAAAAAATGTAATTAATTTAAAAAGTCATTATAGTAACCTTCAACATTCTTTGTGATTCATTAGATTTTTAAGAATACAATTATGTGGTTAGAAATCTTCTGGGGGAAAAATTATTAACCTGACAATACTGACACATATTTCAATTATATGAGCAATCTCAGAGGAAATAATCAGTACTCTGGGGAATAAGGTAGGAAAAACTGAGACATGAGGTGTGCGGCATATATCCTAATAGAATTATCTTTTATCGTGAGCTTCTAAAAAAGAAGTATAAACAAAAACAAGTAATTCTCTGTGGAAGTGAACTATCATGCAATCTCATTTAATCAGAACACAGGTGCAAAACAGGAAGTTAAAAAAAAAAGCTCTAAGAAGTAAAATAGATTTTATTCATTTAAGACTTACTTCTTTTTACTCTATACCCAACTGTAATAAACATTCTAAGCCCAGAACAGAGCATAAGCAATAAATTAGGAGTAAAAAAGATTGCTATCACAAATACAGGGCAGGTAGGTGGCTCTGTGGATAGAGCACCAGGACTGGAGATATCTTCCTGAGTTCAGATCTGGCCTCAGACACTTACTAGCTGTGTGCCCCTGAGCAAATAACTTAACCCTGTTTACTTCAGTTTCTTCATCTGTTAAATGGGCTGGACAAGGAAATGGCAAACCACTCCAGTATTTTTGCTCAGAAAACCCCAAATGAGGTCACAAAGAGTCGGACATGACCAAAAACAACTGAAAGAATATGCTGACAGCAAGAAGTGGTAGCTAACAATGAGAAAAAAGAGAAAAACTATACAAAACAGAGACAATAATTCAAAACTTCCTAATGACAACTATATGACCTTCAGTTACAAGTTCTTAGAGCTTTCATCAATTAATTCAAGAAGAGAGTGGAGGACTTAGAAGGGAAATAGAGAAAGTAAAAGCCATTGTTTAATGGGTTTTTTACATGACTGTACAAAGCCAAACCACATGTGTATTTATCATCTCAGTGTTTAGAATCTATGGACAATTACTTTATTAAATATAAAATATCTAAAATAATAATAGCTGGTATTTATAAGACATTTTAAAAGTTTTTTACATACCTGATATATATTATTTTATTTCCTCCTCACAACAATTCTGTGAAGTAAATACTTAGATGTGATCCCCATTGTACAGATAAAGAACATGAGGTTCAGAAACATTAAGTCAATTGCTAGCAATTGTTACATAACTAGCAAAAGTCAGAGGTATGAGTGAAACCCAGGTTTCTTTTGCTTCCAAGTCCACCAGCATATTGAAATATTAATAAGTCATAGCACTGAGAAGTAAAGACTATTCACTTTTCAGTTTTGTAGTGGTTTTTAGGTTGGAAAACTAAAAAAGTTGTATTTTTAGTTACTTCTCAATTACAATCAATTAACTAATTGAGAATACATTCCTTAAATTCTGGCTTTGGGTGTTACATTTTTGTCCCCATACTTACTGTCAGTAGATTCTATATTTCACAGTAGATTAAATAAAGGAGGTTTGATTTTAAAATATCTTTCAAAATACATGCTTGTTGACAGCTGTCATTGCACATGTATACATGTTTATTTTCCAAAACATGCAACCCTTTTCTTTTTACCAATATTCAAAAGAAACACAATATTCTATGCCTAATCATGCTGTATTTTCATTTTTGGCTAAATATGAATTATCCCACTTTGCACCTAGGATTTTCCATTTGGTTTATTACATTAATACTAAAGTTTCCTAGAGATGGCATGCCAGATCCTTTCTGAATTCTTGAATGTATATATAAATATTTATTCATCTATATTTTTTGACTTTTTAAACTGCTTTACTTTTTGAACTTCCACTGTTCAAAAAGAATAATATAAAACCCTAAGTCCTGTTTCTGAATTTATTACACTTGCCTTAAAATTTCTGCTTTAAGATTCCCCTACAATTATCTACTTATAAACATTTCAGGGAAACCTGAAAAAAAAATCATATTTCCTGTCTTTTCAAAAGACAATTATCTTACCAAGACCTGAAGAGAAGACGATCTCACATGTCTGTTGATTTCATCCACCCACTGGTGACAGATAGAGCTTGGAGAGATGATCAAAGTTGCTCCTGTGGAAACTGGTTTCATTGCAACTAGGCAATGGGGGCAGTAAAAAGGCTTAATTTTCAAGTTTTCCTCCTTGTAGTTCACACATTCTGCATGTTGCCACAGGTGGCATTTCAGACACTGAACACGGGCTTTACAGTCTACTAGGCCAAGTTCACCACAAATACACTCAAAGCGATACTCAGAAGTATTGAAGGGACTTATAGAATTGGCATGTAGTATCTCACGACCAGCATGGTCTTGAGAATCAGATACCTGGTCCTTCATGTTGTCTTCTTCAGAATTTGGTGTAGTTTTAGAGACAGTAGCATGAGTACTTGGGTGATCACTGGATGATGGACAGTGTCTTTGCAAATCAGCAGTATTTAACACTTCAGCTTCAGACTGAAGTTTTTCATTCAAGTGTCGGTCAAGTTTTTTCCTCAGTCTGCCATGGTATCTATTGACTTCACAATAATTATGCTCATCCTCAGTGATGTCTAATGATAGGGATTTATCTCCCTTATTTTCAGAAACTGTGTCATTGCTCTCTGATTGATGTTTTTCTTCATCAGAAAGTTTATTCTGACTCTTTCTAGGACTCTTTGTTACCTATTGCAAAATTAATAAAGAGAAGGGTTTTTTAATGGCACTCTAAATCTAGAAGAAATAGAAATAAAGCAGAAAAACACAAGTTTTTTTTTTTTATTAAGTAGGTCAAATTACAATTTGTTACTTTTACTCGAGTAATATCATTCAAGAATGGTTTTTATCTTGTGCCACATAAACATCCTCAAATGGTCTTCAGGTCTTCCAAAATAAGTAAGGACGTATTGTTATCTAAGTCAGGTGGAAGGAGAAGGAAAGAAAGAAAAAAGGAAGGAAGTAAGGGAAAGAAAGAAAGAAGAGGGAAAGACAGAGGAAGGGAAGGAGGAAAGAAAGAGGGAGAGAAGGCAGGAAGGAAGGAAGGAAGGAAGGAATGGAAGATGAGGGAAGTTCTTAACTCCTTGCAACTTTATTGATGGAAATACTTCAGTTGCAGTTTAAAGCACCAGGAACAATCCTTTTACCCTCTTACTTGACAAAGAAAGTTACTCTGTTTTTCCACTCTGCTTTCTCTACTTCTGAAGCCCCAAAATTCAAGGCACAGAGTGCAGTGGCTCATAATGCACTGATCTGAAGGGAGTTTTCACTCAGAAAGCAAATAAGATCAGTAAGGATAGACTGTCTAAAGGTCTTTTGCCCTGTCTCAAATAAAATATTTAAGAACCACTACTCTACGAACCAAAACTTCTTGGTTTGCTAGTTCTTAAAGGATAAGATTCTTTCATAGGAAATACAATGACTACACCAGGACCTGCAAATATATACATACTTTTATTTGTAAAGAAATTATTCATCTCAATTTGCAAATACTTCAATAATGATTTTTCCTAAAAGCAAACTGATGTATGTGGCCCAGTGAAAACAAGGCATTTAGTTATTTTAAACACCATCTGCCTGGCCATTTCATTAAACATTCACAAATCACTTAATTAAAAAGCAGGAAACTTGAATCAGAATTGGAAAGTATACATAAGTATTTTATAAGCTAAATCTTCACTTTCAAAACAAAAGCTCCTAAAGGCAGATGCTATATCTTTCTAAAACAATGAGCATAGACTAGGCACTTAAATATTTATGGGTGAAGAACAAAAAAGATGTTAATGGGCCCCTTTCCTCTAAAAATAATGAAATTCATTATTTTACCTGTTTTTTAGTTCTGTCACATGTCTTTTGTTCCTTGTAATTCTTTCCCAGTTTAAAAGATCCAGCCAAGCCATGACCTTTGACTTGTTCCACAACTTGTTCTGCAATTAATTTTTCCAAATTCTTCTTCAGAAGCCGCCGATTCCTCTGTACATCATACCTGTATATGGTGCTGACATACTTGAAGATGGCAATGATGGAAGCTCCCTTCTTCACATTCATTTCTTTCACAGCTGCTAGTATCATCACACGCAAACCTACATATACAAGAACACAATGATTCAAGTAAAATAAATGAAAAAAATTCTTAGGGAAGTGGGTCAACATGGGAAATAAAGGTTTATTGCAGAAATGCTCACAGACAAGTATACAAAATTATTTAAAGCAGCTTTATCTGGGGCAGCTCAGTGGTGCAACAGATACAGCACCGGCCCTGAAATCAGCAGGATCTGAGTTCCAATCTGGCCTCAGACACTTGACACTTACTAGTTGTGTGACCCCGGGCAAGTCACTTAAATCCATCGCCTAGGCTCCCTCCCCCCCAAAAAAATAATAAAGTAGCTTTATCTATAACTGTAAAAGATGAAAATGACTTCTATACTCAATGATTAGGAAATGACTGAACAAATTTTGGCACATTAATGTAACGAATTATGATAATCAAATGAATCAATAAATTTTGGTTATCAAAAATGATAAATAGGAAGAAGATGAAGAAACTTGACAAGACTTATATATGAACCGAAATAGCAAAGACAGAAAATCAGAACAACAGATAACTATGACTACAACTTTTATTTAAAAAATTTAACTTTGATAAGAATATAGGAGAAAAAAGACAGGAAGAGACATAGAAGTAAATAAGATACCAATGTTTTTATTTTATTAAATTTAATTGCCTTTATTCATTTTAGTAACCTGTAAGTAGTTTGAAGTTTATTAGTTTTATGTATGATTAAACATTTTATTTATTTGAATGTTTTGTTGATGGTTATATAATAAACACTTCAAAAAATATAGAACTTGTAAAGAAAACTAAGCTGTCAACAATATGGAATTAATCATCACAATGCTAAATTTTATCGACATAAATGCTATTCATGCTAAACTAGTGATCTTGAAGTCTGATATGAAGTGATCATATGAAGACTCTCCATATGAAAAACTAAAAATGTTTTTAATACTAATTACTACAACATTAGCTTATACTTAAACACAAAATATACATAGTATTCTAATATGATCAAAAATATTTTCAAAATAAACTTAAAAAACTAGAAAAAGTCAAATATAGTAAACTTTGCCAAAACATTAATTGGATGAAGAGAAACATAAAATTCAACCTGAAGATTATATGAAATCAGAAGAATTACTACAAATGTTCTTGAAGACTACAAGAAAATCATCAATAACAATAAAGTGTCTCTAGTGGAAGGTTTCTAAGAATTATGACAAACATTGGAAACATAAGTATTTAAAAATATAAATACAAATACTTACTGGGGTACTGTACTTTTTCCTTAGATTGAAACTCCATCATCTTAAGTTTCTTCTTTTTGCCTCCTTCAGCAGGTTGTGGAGGTATGAAGTAATTTACCAGTTTTCCCTGATATGAACAATATCCAGCAGTCACTCATTGGACTTTCAGGTTCATCATTACAGACTGCTTAATATTAAACTTTAAAATTTGGATATAAGTTATCAGATTATAAGGAGATATACAACGTATGAAATACACTTTGAAATGAAGTGATATGCATGTACTTACACACAAACTGGACTTTTTTTTATCTTACCCAAAGTTTAGAGTCTAACTACTCCCTTTCTTAATGCTATGTATGTATTTTAAATATTTAAAAATAATTAACCTCATACATTTGCATGGTATGATGGAAAAGCACTGCTTTTGGAGTCAGAGGAAGACCTGGGTTCACCTTCAGCCTTGGCACTTACTACCTGCTGTGACCTGGGGGCAAGTTACTTTTTAACATCTCTGGTTCTCTACAAAATGAGGGGTTGGACTAGAAATGGGTGGGGAACCTCTAGGTCCCCAGTGACGTTCTTTGACAGAATCCAAACTTCACAGAACAAATCCCCTTCATAAAAGGATTTGTTCTGTAAAACCTGGACTCAGTCAAAAGGCCACACCCAAAGACTTAGAAGGCCACAGGCTTCCCACCCTGGATGATCTCCAAAGTCCCTTCCAGCTCTAATCCTATGACATGAAGACAAAATTTTATTTCATATAATGCAGTGTGCAATGATTGTCTCAATACAACTTCACCCATTAAGTGTATAGTGGCATGACAATAATCAACTAAAACAAAAACAGTAAAAATCTCCCATCCAACAAAAGGTTACTGTTATATATTTTTGAGTTATATCTTTCTAAGTAGGGTTGACAGACCTAAATAGATCCATTCACATTTTCTTATACATGGTGATCAAGAACACATATTCATATGAGGCTTGGCTAAAGATAGGCATGTACTGTGATCCTGAAATGGAATGCAGCTAATAAAACTACATCAAATCTGTCCCTTGCACTTCAACTATATAATCATGGACCAATATTTTCCAATAAATTAATGAAAAGTTATCATCAAAAATGTCCACTTAATTATGAGAAATTAAAGGAAATGTCCCTTTACAAACAAAGACGGCACTACCAATACGCCTTGAATTTTTTACTCAGTAAGAAGAGGGTGGACTAAGCCAATCACACACTCAGATGATCTTGGAAATACTTTTATAAAATAAACGTTTGGGATTCACATATCTCTCTGAAGTGTTTCCATACCTTATCTTATTTGAGCCACATAACAACCCTATAAGATAGGTGCTATTATTATTTACATTTTACAGATGAGCAAAAAGAGGCTGAGACTGGATAAGTGAAGTGACTTGCTCAAGGCCACACAGCTAGTAAGTGTCTCAGGCAGGATTTGAACCCAGGTCTTCCTCACTCCAAGTCCAATACATCAGGCTGCCTTATAATCTAATGAGGGGATAAAATATAAGTATGATACAAAGTAGATGGTGAGAAAGGCAAAAGAGAAATCTAGAAGAAATGCATTAAAAAAAATTTAAGGTGAAGGTAAATTACTTTCCACTATGGGGATCAGAAAAGACTTCAAGGAGAAGTTGGCACCTGCCCTGGGTCTTGAAGAAAGAGAAGGGTTTTGACAGCGGAGAAAGGGTATTAGAGGTACAAGGGATGGCTTTCATAAATAGCCAGTAGTCCTCTGTTCTGAGAGTAGATTTTATGAAATAAGTTTGGAAAAGTAGGATGGAAGACAGTAGAAGGTTCTAAATGCTATAGTTAAAGAATTTAAATTTTAGATATCATTAAATAAAACTTTGGGTTTGCCAATCTCAAATTGGGTTTCTTTTGCACATAAATTCTAAATTGGAATTTTTCAGAGGTTGAGGAAAAGTCAATTTTGGTAGAAGGCAATGGCCTAAGAAGATACAGTCTACTTTAAAAAATTGGACTCTTAAGCATACTAGCTGTTTACTAAGGTATTCTAAATAAATGTAAGGGGTTCAGGTATGGGTTGGATCACATGACCTCTAAAGTCCCTTTCAACTCAGATTCTGTTACTCCCATGTCTCAGATTTGTCACATTGCTTCATTAAGTGCCCGTAACAGTTCTCAAGTCATTTAGGTTACATTTTTGCAGGTAGCAGATCACTGTCAATACTCAAGCAAAGATGTTTTTATTGCTAACCTATGGCAACAATGAAAGCGGGAACATTTTAGTTGGCCAGTACCAGTGGCAAACAGCTCAAGTGTCACAAAAAGGTCTAACCCTTCCAAATTAACTATCTTCAGTTCCACAGGATATTAAAAGCTTTGACTTTTGTGTCAAAACAAGCATTCAGAACATGTTGCTTTTCTTGAACGTAATAAGTCCCTTGCTTCCCTAAGCTTGATAAGGTCATCCTACCTCAGGCAGTGTTAGAACATCCTGTTTGACATCTTGTCGAGTGTGTGAAAGAATCAGAGCCAGAACCTCCACTGTCTTCCCCAGTCCCATCTCATCTGCTAAGATGCCACCAGGCCACTGTGGCCCAGCATTTGGGTATTCCCGGATGATGCTAAAGGAAAGGTCAAACAAAACAAAAAAATATGTCAAAGTAATTCAAACAAAGTAGCTACTCTAAAGAAAACGGCAAGAACTGCATTAAAATGAAGATTCTTGAGACTATATTACTCTGTAAAAAGTGAAAGTACTTAGAGTTCTAGAAACCTAAACATGGAGACTATGATATTCAATCAAAAAAGGCAACCAAGTTATAATACCAACTAATCTTGCAATAGGACACAAGGGATTGTGTTGTTAACTATAATTTTTCTTCCTTATGGTTAAAATACGAAAAATGCCCATCTCTTTACTGTGACCTTCAAAATAATCTCTGAATAGAAAAGATAAAGAACAGTAGTCATTCAGGCATTAAATCATCAAGTATTTTCCAGTAACTACCAAAAAACTTAGCACAGAGGTATACTTGAATTAAAAAAAAAAACTGATCCACAATAAACACAATGACACAGCCTCAAATTATGCTCACTCTAATTCTTTATAGTATCTTGAATCCATTATTTGGCATTTACTAAATGAAAAGGGACAAGTGCTATTTATTCTATATTTGTCCTTTGTGTTAAAGCCTTTAGCAAGATTTTCACTAAGTATTCTTTCATTAGGCAATGCTATGGATAGTGAGGTTCTCAACAAATCTCTTCTGTAGGCTTTCAGTATGGATATATACATGGGGGTACGGGCTCTGGGAGAGTGAAGAAGCACATTTATAAATATAAAATTGCCTTACCAGCCTGTAAATGGATTATAGTAAAATTTCATCCCTTCTGTTGTAATGACCTCTCTCCATAAGAAATGTAAGGTATTTTCTAAAGAAGAAAAGAGCCATAAGAACATTCTCTCTCTCTTTTTCATTTTCCTCCCAATTATAATGCTTTACCATTTAAATAGCGCTTTACAATTTTTCAAAGCCTTTCATGCATACCGTATAACTTCTTGGAACCCCTCTGTGAGGTAGGTAGGGCAGGTACTGACTCTACCCTACCTTTCCATGCTTATTACCCATTACTGCCCTTCACCAGCCAAGCTGTCCTGCTTGCTATACCTCCCACAAATCCTTTCATCCCTTAGCTCCAGAAGCACTGCTCGTCCTTCCCTAGAATGCACTCCTTTTTCACCTCTTAAAATCCTTAATTTCCAGCAAAGCATAGCTCAAACGCCATCTCTTGATTTCCCCAATTGCTACTGCCTTCCCCCCCAAATGCTTTGCATTTAATGTTCAATATTTTGTACTCACTTCGATGAATCTCTCCCCACCCCCTCAAAGAATGAAAGACAGAAACGACTTTTTTTCCTTTTATCCCCATCACCTAGCATAGTGCCTGCCATGGATACTTTAAATGCTTGCTGATTGGTTGATACTTTCCTCACAGATAACCGAGACTCAGAAAGGTTAAGATGCTTGACAGGTGAACCACAAATTGAAGTGAAAATGAAGTTAAATTAACTCATAGCTCCACCAGGATATTGACCTGGATCTCTTAAAGTTTCATGGTAACACTGAGCCAGTATATAAGCACCCCTTCCATTTATTTCTGTTTATTTCTCTGTTTATTTCTACCAATAATTCCCATTTAGCTTGTTTCACTATGGACTTTAAATATTTCTTAGACAAAGAAGATGAAAGAAAGATAATTTAAAAAGCTTCAAAACACGATAGGAAGTGATCGGGAAGAAGAAATTCATATGCATAATTTTAAAAACATTTATCCAACAAGGTGCAGAGAAATATAGTATAAAGAGTCAACCTTGGAATCAGGAAAATCCAAGTTCAAGTTCTACTTCTGAAACATATTAACTGAAAATGGGAAAGTCATTTAACTTCTGAGTGTTTCAAGTAGGTATCTAAGTCTATAATTTTAAAAAGTTGCTGATTACACAAGTGTAGAGCTTCCATACTAAGAAGTCTCAAAACAAATGAAATCACTGATTAGAACCCCCCAAAATGGGGAAGATTTTCACAAAATCCTCAACAATAATTTTATGATTAAACACTGAACAGAAATTACAATTCTCCTACTCTTACCTCTTAGTGCTTTCCCCAAAATAAAACCATACATTTTCCATGAACACAGGTAGAAAAGGTTTGGCCTCATTTGGGAAAATTCCAAATATTAAATTAAAATACAGCATTTTATTTTAATAAGATCTACCATCATATATCTATTCACTGACCACTACTGTCCCTAGTTTGACCTAAAAGCAAAATAAATGTATCTGAAAAAAAAAACACAATAGCCAAGTAGAACATGACAATTTGGGGGATGGTCCTATGTGTAATTTATTTATTTTCTAACAGATATTTAAAATTCAGTTCAACTCAATTTCACAAATACTTACTGTCTACAATGTGCATCACACTGCGCTACAAGCTAGATATTACAAATTTAAGCTGACACAATCCCCTAACCTCAAGGATATTATAATCTAGTGGAGAAATACAACATGTATACAGATAAAGTATAATGGAAATGAGAAGATGTAGGAGCAAAGAGGAGAGTTAAACAAAGTTCTCAAAGAAAATGTGAGAAGTCAAAAAACATTTTTAGCTGAGGAAGGGGATGAAGGGACAGGCTACAAGGAGGAGGTGGCACCTACATTGGCCCTTAAAGAAAATGAAAGATTTCAAGGGATGGAAATGAGAAGAATGCATGTTATAGGTATTCAGGATTCAGACTACAAAGGGGCTTTTTAGGAGGGGTTGGGACAGGAAAAGGTTGACAATAGGGGCCTTAGGAGCAAGGTCTAAAAGACAAGGAACAGATATATTGGCCTGTGTGTTCCTCTGACTACAAGGAAAGCAGGGATGTAAGTATAATCTTTGATTATATTAAATTATAATTGAATTATAAATTCAATGAATTTACATTTGAATTTGAATTAAATTGAATTAAAATATCAAAATTAAAAAAAAGGTCAGTTGTAGAATATGGAAATGAATGAAAATTTTTCTAAAAAGATTTAATTCCCTCAAAAATGTAAACTACTAAGCAAAAGGGAAATTAATAACAGATTACTGATCAATTTCAAGAAATCTATAAAGGAGCTGTGATAAGACAGTCAATGTTTTCCGCTCAAAATCATGCCCATTTATTCCAATCTGTATTAAGATGGTTATAAAAGCAGGAGTAAGGTCTCTGGAGGCATAAGAAAAGATAAGGAAGAAGAAGTAAGCAATCTTTGGAAATTCCCTGCCTTTTTGAGAATAAGTAGTCCATGAATAACGAATGGGAAATTGCCAAAAGAACAAGGCCAAGGAAGTTAGTATTTATTGGAGAATATCACACAAAACCAATCATATCTCCCCTTTTCTCTACTTCATCAAGAAAATATTGTTTAAAACATAGGATTTTGGAGCTAGAAAGGTCCTTTCAAGATGAATAATCTAATCTAGCTCCTTCATTTTACAGGGAAGTCACACTACTCTTTACCATCTCTCATCAGGTTTGTGAAAGCCACTCCTAGAGGGCTAATCCACTAGTGATTAGATTTCTTGCTTCTTAAACTGGATCAAGACATCTTAATTTGGTACAGGAAGAAGAATCACTCTAATACATTTTACAAATAAGCCCTAATCATACATGAATGATACTGATCATCTATATGTCCAAGGAATTCCTTAAAAAACACATTTTGTGCATAAACCCTTCTGTTTTATACTTTTCCTTTTGACATCCTGCTTGGTGACCAAATCTCTCAGACCCCTGTTCCTCCCATCCCTTCCCAGAATACTAAGATTGCTCTGTGCCTTAGCTTAAATATCTTATACTTGCCACTGGCAGGAGAGTTTCTGAAATGTTCTCGTAGCAGCATCCAGTTAACAGCCTCACTTTGGTATGGCCTCAGTACAGGAATCAGTGCAGGATGCTGGACATCTTCTTGTAGGTACTGAGCTTCTTGCTGGTGCGTATGTCTCACAAAGTCATATAATTCCTCAATGTTCTGTCTCTCCAGCTCACTATCAGACTCTTCTTCATCCTCCTCCAAAATATCTGTGCAAATTGAAAATTAAGCATTCGTTAAAACCTAATTTATTTTTAAAAGACAGGAACAGGAACTCATAGTACTTTTAATATATCTATGACATATCTAACTTCCAATGAAATTTTTCATGATTACATCTTCTTACTACATAACCTTAGAATGTAAATAGGATTTCTCTACCATTACCCCATATAAGGTAATTTCAATTCAACAAATATTTTTAAGTATATATAATGAATGCAAAGCATTATACTAGGTGCTGGGGAGTTTCCAAATTTAGATGCAATATTATCCTGTCTTTCATAGAGCTGGCAGGCTAGTGGAGAGGAAAAGGTCTTAACCATACATGATTATAATACATCTTTCAGTTCTCCACTTTTTCTTGATATGGACAAATTTCTATTTTTCTGACTATTTTATGATTATGGCAGAAATACTAAAACAGAAGTTCAACTCAGCAATAGAGCATTAGAACCAACAGAGCAAAACAAGCAATAGGAAAGATCATAGAAGCAAAATGTACTATGTTGGCTATGGAAAACTAAAAAGGTTTTGAGTAAACAAAATCAATGCAGTGAAGATTAGTTAGGAAATAGATACTTAGGGGGGAAAAATCTTTGCAACAAGTTTTTCCAATAAAGATTTCCTAGTCAAGATTTAAAAGGAAATTATTCAAATCTGGAAGACTAAAGAGTTATTCCCCAATAAATAAATGGTCAAATTATATAAGTTTTAAAAGGAAGAAATCCTAGTTACTGACAACTACATGAAAAAATGCTCCAAATTACTAATAATTAGGGAAATGCAAATAAAACAATTCTGAGGTTCTACCTTATAGCTCCAGTAGCAAAAATGACAAATGTTGGAAGGACTACAGGAAAATAAGCTAACAAATTCACTTCTGAGGATTTTGATAATTGGTCAAGACACTATGGAAAGCAATATGGAACTATTCCTCCAAAGTTACTAAACTATGCATATATTCTTTGACCTAGTAATACCATTGATTGGGCCTACACCAAAGAGATCAGAAGACCTATATGGACAAAAATATTTAAAGCAGCTCTTTCCATGGTAGCCGAAAACTGGAAACTGAGGGAGTGACCCCCTACTGGGAACATCTAAATATTATTTTGCCATAAGAAATGATGAAATGGATAGTCTCACAGGAAATGCGGAAGAACTCTATTAACTATTAACAGTGAAGTGAACATAATTAGGAAAACAATTTATATGATAACATTATAAAGAAAAATAACTTTGAAAGTTTTTTTAGTACTCTGATCAATGCAATGATAAAATCACAAATGCGAAGCCAAGGGTCAAACTTGAAGAGAAAGGGATCCCTGCAGGTGACATACTAACTTAGAAAATCACAGTTAACATTATCATTGTAGTATTGCATTTTTATTTATTTTGTTAAACATTTCCAATTATGTTTTAGTCTGGTTCAGGCTGCATGTACCAATTTGACACCTCTGGTCCAGAAGACTGAAGATGAAACATGCTATCCACCTCCTATCAGAGAGGTGACAGATTTTAAATGCAAAATGAGACACATTTTTGGACAAAACCAATGTGGGAATTTATTTTGTTGAACTATGCATATTTTATGAGGACTTTCTTTTTCTTTTTAAAAAATATTATTCAGTGGGGGGCAGTGGGAAGGGAAGATAATAAATAATAATAATAATTCATAATTTTTTAAAAAAAGAGATTAAATGTATACAGTATGCAGCAATAAAAGGAGAATCAGGGCATGGCAACAATACTGGGCTTGTAAATCAACTATTGGATTAAGTTAAACCAGATAGAGACTATGGTTATAAGGAAATAATATTTGTAAAAAGCACTTAGCATAGTGCTTAGCACATACTAGGTACTATAATAAATGCTTATTCCTTGGCCTTCCCCTAAACTGCAAATATAGTACAAGGAAGTAAAATTTATAATCTTACAAGTCTTAGACCCAGCACTCTCTACCCCTACAATACAGCTAGTCCCACCAAGAAAATCAGGCTGTGACCATGGTCCACTGGCCCTTGGCTCTGCCCTGCAACATCACCCCATGGAGACTCTGAGCATAATAATTCATCTGCCACAGACTATTATATGTATTGCTAGCAAACTCCTACTACCTATTATTACTCCTAGCCCTGTATTACTTAATTACTAGCTACCTGGAAGTCAATTATCCGCAACTTCCATATCTTGTTCTCTCATCCCCATCCTCTTCAATCCTACCACATCTATGCCCCACTCTTCCTCCAATTCTTAACCCTTTCATTTTGCCCTATACAACTCCTATTCCATAAAGAACACATTCCCTTCATTCTGGACCTCTTCCTCTGTTATTCTTTCCATCTATATGCAATCAGTGAATCTGGACTTCCACCTAACAACACTGCATCCCTGGACAATCTCCCTAACACTATCTATACCTCTTTTCTTTTCTTTTCTTTTTTTTTTTTGGCTAGGCAATGGGGTTAAGTGACTTGCCCAGAGTCACACAGCTAGTAAGTGTTATGTGTCTGAGGTAGGATTTGAACTCAGGTCCTCCTGAATCTAGGGCTGGTGCTCTATCCACTAAGCCACCTAGCTGCCCCCAAATCATTATTTTTCCCCTCTTAGTCCTGATGAAGCTATTAAAGTGTTTTACTGTATACTTTTTTTTTTAAGGCAATTGGGGTTAAATGACTTGCCCAGGGTTACACAGCTAGTAAGTGTCAAATGGTTGGTCTGAGATTGGATTTGAACTCAGGTCCTCCTTACTTCAGGGCAGGTGCTCTATTCACTGCTACACCTAGCTACCTTTATACCTCTTTTCAAACCCCCAAAGCACATGGTGGCCATTATTCTTCTTTCATACAACCCTAACCTAATTCCTCAATTTTCTCAAATATATGTCCTACTTCTTTATTTGACCTCAGCCATGAACAGGGGTAATCACACCTGGGAATTTACCATTTCTCACAGATATTCTACTTCCTTGTTCAAAAACTGACATTCCTTTCTTCTATCTGACCAAGGCCTGCTATCTTTCCATTGTTTTTGTATGCCTCATCTCTACTAAATCTACCACAGAAGACCTCCAATTCCTCCATCCCTAAGTGTTTTCTTAGACCAATTATCATCCTCAAATTTCATTTTCCTTCCTTAATAATCATGACACTATTTTCAGCCAGTCTCTGATAAAGGCCTCATTTCTAAAATACATAGAGAACTGAGTCAAATTTATAAGAATACAAGTCATTCCCCCAATTGATAAATGGTCAAACGACATGAATAGGCAGTTTTCAGAGGAAGAAATTAAAGCTATCTGTAGTCATATGGAAAAATGCTCTAAATCACTATTGATTAGAAAAATGCAAATCAAAATGACTGACGTACCACATCACACCTATCAGATTGGCTGACATGACAAAACAAGAAAATGATCAATATTAGAGAAGATGTGGAAAAATTGGAACACTAACGCATTGATGGTGGAGTTGTGAACTGATCCAACCATTCTAGAGAACAATCTGGAACTATGTCCAATTTGGAACTATGGCTATAAAATTGTGCATACCCTTTGACCCAGTAATACCACTTCTAGGTCTGTATCCCAAAAAGATCATAAAAATGAGAAAAGGACCCACACGTACAAAAATATTTATAGCAGCTCTTTGTGTGCTGGCAAAGAACTGGAAATTGAGGGGATACCTATCAATTGGAGAATGGCTAAACAAGTTGTGGTATATGAATGTAATGGAACACTACTGTGGTATAAGAAATGATGAGCAGGCAGATTTCTGAAACACCTGGAAAGACTTATATGAACTGATGCTCAGTGAAATGAGTAGAACCAGGAGAACACTGTACTCAGCCACAATATGAGATGACTGACTTTGATAGACTTAGCTCTTTTCAGCAACACAAGGTTCTAAGACAACTGCAAAAGACTCACGATGGAAAATGTTAACCACATCCAGAGAAATAACTATGGAGTCTGAATGCAGATGGAAGCATACTATTTGGTCTCTTTTTCTTTTGTCAGTTTGTTTTATTTCTTCTTTCTTGTAATTCCTCCCATTAGTTCTAATTTTTCTATACATCATGACTAATGTGAAAATATGTTTAATAGGAATGTATATGTAAAGCCTATATCAGATTGCATGCTGTCTTGGGGAGCAGGGAGGAAAAGGAGGGAGAGAAAATTTAAAACTCAAAATCTTATGAAAGTGAATGTTGAAAACTAAAAATAAATAAATTAATTATTAAAAAAAAATCATGACACCATAGTTAACCACTTCAACTCCATACTGTGCTCTATTCTCAAATTCCTTGCACTACCTCCTCAACTCCAACACAAGTGCTACTTAAAAGAAATGGTAGAAATCACACAACAGTGTTGACTGGATCTACTACAAATTTATGTTAACTAACTTTAACTAGGCTCTCACTGACACAGGGCATTCTTTTTTATTCCTCTCTAAATGATTACCTACTTTACTCCCCACAGAATCAATTCCAAACCTTTTCTCTCATCAAGCTTCCCACAACTTCCCTTCCCCCCTCTCAGCTGGGGATCTTAATTTTAATTTGACTGGGAAAACTGATGTCATCTGCTATGAGCTCCCTCTTTCATTCTCTTCACTTTAGGACCCCTTGATAACATCTCATGTCCTCCTGTCTCTGATAATGAGGTCACCCTTCTCACCAAGGCCAACTCCTCTATATATGACCTTGACCTCAACCCTTCCTATCTTCCCCAGGAGTTTGCCCATTAACTCCCATCTCTCTCTAATCTTCAATCCCTCCCTGTCTAATAATTCTTTCCTTGCTGCCTTCAAACATACCCAAATCTGTTCTTAACTAGGCTCTACTCTCCCTTCAAGTTGTCATCCCATATCTCTCCTCACTTAGGCAAACTCCTAAAAAAGCTACCACCTATCACCTCCACTTTCTCTCCTCTCATTCACTCTTTAACCTTCCACAATCTGAATTCTGACCTCATCACTCAACTAACCTTGCTGTCTCAAGTTACTGATAATCTCAATGGACAAATCTGATGGTCTTTCTCACCACCATTCTGAACTTCTCTGCTTTAATTAATGCTATTGACTACCCTGTCCTCCTAGATACTCTCTTCTTTCGGAATTTTCATGACACTATTTTCTCTCGGCTCTCCTATCTGTGCAGCTGCTCCTTCTCTGTTTCCTTTGCTGGATCATTAATATCCTGAACTGAGCATCTTCCAAGCCTCTATCCTCAGCCTTCTTCCTTCTCTCTTCACTCAGTGACTTCAACTTCTTCTGGTTTAATTATTATCAATATGCAGATGATTCCTAGACATATATATCCAGCCCCATATCACTACCTCTCTACCAAACTTCTTTATTTCTGTCAAAGGTACCACCATTCTTCCAGTCTCCCAGACTTGCAATGTTAGAGTTATCCTTGACTCCTGACTCTCCATCCCACAAATCTAGTCAGTTGCCAGATCGTGTTGTTTCTGCTTCCATAATAATCCTCACATCAGACCCTTTCTCTCTACTGAGAACCACTGCTGTAGTTCAGGACATCAACTCCTCTTAGGAGCCAGGTGGTGAAGGGAAGAGGGTGCAGGACTTGGGAGTCAGGAAGATCTTATTTCAAATTCAAATTCTCACTAGTTATGTGACCCTGGGCAAGTCATTTAACCTCTGTCCTCCTCAGTTTCATCATCTATAAAATGGAGATAATAATAATCTATAAAATGGGGATAATAGTAATGTTGTGAGGATCAAATAAGCTAACACATGTAAAATATTTTGAAAACCTTAATGTGCTACAAAAATGCTAATTACACTATTGTGTAATAGCCTCCAATTTGGTCTTTTTGCCTCAAGTCTCACCTCCCCCCATCCATCCTCCACGCAGCTGTCAAAGTGATTTTCTTTTAATATAGATTTGACCAGGTCATTCTCCTACATCAATAATTCTCAATTGCCTCTAAGATAAACTCCAGTGATTCCTTATTGCCTTGAGGATCAGATATAATATCCTCTTTTAAAGTCCTTCACAATCTGGCCCCAACTTCTCTCTCCAGTTTTATTACACATTACTCTTCATTCTGATCTCCACAGGCCAGCCACACCAGCCTTCTCCTTGTTCCTCATATGTGGTACTCCAGCACCCATCTCCATGCCTTTGTGCTACCATCACGCCTGTGTGGAATGTGCTCTTTCCTCACCTGTGCCTCACAGAATCCCAAGACACAGGCCAAGAACCAACGTTTACACACTTTTCCTAACCCTAAATCCCTCTCAACTGCTTAACAGTGTCATCCCTCTCTAACTAACTTGTATTTATTTGAGATTTACTGTGTATGTCTGTGTGTGTAAATCCACCTACACACATACATATATAAGTATATGTATGTTTGGGGGTTTTGTGTGTGTACATATGTATATATATGTATGTATGTACCTGTTGTCTCCCCCTCTAGAATGCAAGCTCCTTGAGAGTAAGAATAATTTCATTTGTTCTATTTGTTCCTCCAGCACTAGTAAAATGCCTCACTCACAGCAGATGTCTAATAAATGCTTGTTAATTAAGACAAAAGGTAGACTTTATTTAACGTCAAAAAAAAATGTCTTTTACCTCCCTGCTCTACAACTAAGCTTAGATTTAAATGAGAGGTCACCAATCAGTCTCTTCCATTCTTCCTATTTCCAAGTTACTCTCTAGTAACCAAATATTACTAACAAACATAAGGTGATTTCAATTCCCATTATTAATTTTGCCTAAAGTGATTCAATATAGTTAGTTATTAAACTACTATTATTAAAGTTTTGCTTAACATAGTTCTTACAAAACTAAAATATTGGCAAGTAGTAATAGTTCAAATACAGATTTTTAGATAGAAATTACCTGGAATTATAAAGTTGTAAAACTTTTCCATTAATTTCTGGATCAGCTGATTGGCCTTTTTTATTCTTCCACTTCCATCACTGAGAAAATCAGGCTTGGCTAAGCCAGCTTCCAAGAGATATATTCCAACCTACAGAAACATATTCACCAGTAATATAAAAAGTTCGGAATTTACCAATATTTAAAAAGGCATTACGGGAAAAGAGGAAAACGTACTCAATGAACATGACTGTTCTTTTGTATCATTTTTCAATGAAAATCTCAACACTGCTTTGTGTAATTATGTTAGATATAGTACCTATTGTATATATACTAATATGTAATATTCTCTTTACAGTAAATATCAATGTGTACACATACACAGATATTTTCCCACTAAAATGGGAAACATCTAAATATCTATCCTGTCCTTGGAACTTTTCATTATCTTTAAAGCTCTTAATACAACAAGAACAACAAAGCTCTTACATTCATTCACTAAAAAAGGATGACTCATCCAGAATTACACAGAAGTTAGTGACAAAGTAATTAAAATCTAACATTTCTAACTTTTTTCTTTCAGCAATTCCTCAATTTTGAATCAAGGCTACTATTTTATGTTTTTGAGAACTCCAGGGGAAATATACAAAAAAATGAAGAGGAAATTTAGGATTTCCTTTCCTTTCCAGTATTTATTTTGGGACCTATGCAATTTTTATCTAAAAGAAAAAAGGAAGGCAGCTATTGTGCTCCCATTTCAATATTACTATTTATTACAGAGGGACAGGTAGGTGGCACAGTGGATAAAGTGTGGGGTCTGGAGTCAGGAAAACTCATCTTCATGAGTTCAAATCGGGCCTCAGACACTTACTAGTTGTGTGAGCTTGGGCAAGTCACTTAAGCCTGTTTGCCTCAGTTCCTCATCTGTAAAATGAGGAAGAGAAAGAAATGGCAAATCACTCCAGTATCTTTGCCAAGAAAACCCCAAATGGGGTCACAAAGTGTTGGACACGAGTGAAACAACTGAACAACAACATTTAATACAGAATGTTAGTACACTGGGATGTCAACAAGCTTTCATCTCCATCAATGGGGGTGGAAAGAAAAGAAAGATGGATGTTAGATTCTTGTAGGAAAGCCAGCTGACTTACCATTCTGGAATCTATCTAGTCTGGGTTAGAAACAAAGGGAAGCATCTGGGCATTTATTTTTTTACTGGTAATCTACCCAACTTGAAATAGAGAATTTTTCTGTTCTTCTCTTTATTTTCAATGTAACTGATCTCATTTGCTGCCTCTGTTTCAACCCAGAACCTCGTTACTGTGGTTATGACCGTTCCCTGATTAGTGATCTTGACTGCTCTCTTGGAATAACTGTTTGACTTTAATTTTCTTAAACCAGAACTGTGCTCTCACATTAATTAACTAGACCAGAAAGCCTCATGAAGAAAAATGGAAAATGTCAGCAAAAGGAGATAGAGAAGTACTGGTTAATTCTTCTATCTCTCTATCCCAGCCAGAGGGGCAGCAGCTTGTTGCTTGTTTAAATCAAAACTGTCTGACCAGAAAAGAAAAAACGCTTGACAAATACTTTGGGTTACTTTTCCAAATGAGAAAAAATGGGATAAGAGATATGGTAATTAATGCAAGGAAAACTTCTTTCTTAACTTTCTTCTCAAAGTACTTATGAAGAAATATATGGAAGTGAAAATACTTTTGTAAATATGGTACAGTAATTATAGAGGCTGCATAGTACAACATAGGAATTAAGGTTTTAAGTATTGCTCTAATACTCAATAGCCATACGACCTTGGGCAAGTTAAGTAATCCTTCAGGCTCAAAGTTCTCGACTGTAAATGGGGATAATAAATATGTACACTAACTATCTTACAGGGTTGTTGTGGGCAAAGTACTTAGTACACTGCAAAACATTATGTTAAAATGTGAGCCATCAACATAATGACAATAGGTAGTTAGTATAGTTATTATAATAGAGATGAAGAAGATTAGGCACAGAGAAAACTAAATTCAGTAAAATGAAGGACAAAGTCAAGAACCAAAGGGATCATTGTGTTTACAAGCCACTAATTTTCCTTATAAATGTTATAAATAATAAGTAAAATGTTACTTTTAAAATTAACAAGTAAAAAAAGTTTTTTTTTAAAAACCGCAGAAGACACACTCCTGTTACAAGAATAAATTCTTGTACTTTCAGAGGCTAAGAAATGACTAATGGATGATGGAAACCATTTTAGTATTTTCTACCTTAAAAAAATAGGATCCATCCTAATATTTGTGTACATTTTTTGTTAGGAACTCAGTGAGTTTTCACTTTGATTTGTTTTTATAGAAAGTACAAGATATCACTGTGATAAAAGTTTTGCACTGGCCAGGATTAGTGACAATTATTTGCATTTTTATGATACTCTTCTTTTGGAGAGCCTAAAGAGAATATGAACTTTAGTCAAAATATCCCATAAATCTTTAACACTACCCAAAAAATCCCAAACATATTAGATTTCAAGAGAGTAAATGCTTGTATAGACAGTTTGATAAGATAGAAAGAACAATGAATTAGAAATCAGGAAAACTGGATTCTAAACTTGAATGCTCTGCATTCTCTCTAGCTGTCCTCTCTGCCCAGAATGCTCCTACTCCTCATCTCCCCTATGGCTTCTCTGGTTTCCTTCAAGTCCCAGCTAAAATCTCATTCGCTGGGCCACCTCCAGTTGCCCTGATGAATATCTGGCCACTGGACCCAGATGGCGCTGGAGGAGAAAGTGAGGCTGGAGACCTTGAAGAGCCCTCCCTCACTCAAATCAAAGTCAACTGCAAGTCATGTCATCAACTCCCTGATGTCATGGTCTTCTTCGAGAACGAAGGACAAACATAACAACAAAATCTCATCTCCTGTATAGGAAGCCTTTCAAAACCCCTCTTAATTCTAATGCCTTCTCTCTCTTAATTAGTTCCTACTTATATATAGATTCTTTGTACATACATGTCTTCTTGTTCTCTCCCCTATTAGAGTGTGAGCTGGGACTGTCTTTTGCTTCTTTTTGTATCCCCAGAGCTTAGTACAGTGCCTGGCACATAGTAGCCATTTAATAAATGTTTATTGACCTTAGGAAATTAAGTCTCTTAACCTTGTGTGCTTCACTTTCTTCACATATTAAATTAGGGTCTTGACTAGAGATTATCTCTAAGGTCCTTTCCAGCAATAATATTCTATGAAATTTAGTTTATGCAAGGTTTTCATATCTTTTTTTAACCCATAAAAACTTATTGTTAAGTTAAGATAAATTGTTATTGAGCACCTTGATGGTTTGAATCCCTTCAGGTCTGTGATAAAGTTCTATTATTTTCTTCTTTTGCAGCCATCTCAGATCTTCTAACATTTCATTACTGAAGGAGGATTCCACCAAAATACTCTTTTCAGAAACACTGTCAGGCTCTTCAAGTCCTTCTTGTTGGTTTTCCACCTCTTTACACTTTGGATGAACAGAGATCTGCAACTGATCACTTGAATCTGCTGTCATTAAAGTAAACTTTCTTTCATGAAAACTTTCAATTAAAATCTCCTCAGCAAGAAGCTGTAGAGTTAGCTCACCTAAAAATGCTTTCCAGGAATTAGTTAGGTGATAAGGCGAAATGACAATATTTAATTTGACAAATAAAGACGGCAAAATACAGGCAGTTTCCTCTTCCTCTGTTAATGAACTCCCTGACTTGGAACATCTTTTTTTGGTCTTGTGTTCTTCTTCTTCCTCTGGACTATCATCATCTATAACAATTAAAGGGATAGATGAGGAACTTGGGCCTGGGACAGGTTCTTCATCATCATCATCATCATCATCATCATCAAGGATAATCACGTCATGTTTTCGGTCTTCGTGCATATTCCAACGGAGTTGTCGCTGCTTCTCCTCATCCACCCTGACTGGAGGGGCACGCTTCCGTCGACTGCTCATTCTGAAGGTTCTTCAGGTGAGCAACACAAAACCTAAAAAACAAACATAACAGGTAATAATAGTTTCATTCCAGCAAAAGATTTAGATTATGAGTATGTTGTTATATAAAAAATGTAACAAGAACTCTTCCATGCTCATAATCTAGTCTCTGTTAGAAAAAAGCAAGAGGTTTTTTAAAAGTCAGAAGTACTACTAGCAAAGATATAAAATATAACTAATATAGTAAATACTTTTTAGAATTTAAATGTATTTTAATATATAAATTTAGTCAAATCATTTTGATTAAAATAATAAAATCCCTACCAAATAAGAACAACTTGAGGAATGCAATTTTCTCAAAGACTTGTGAAAAGCTTGTTTGTGGTAATGGGCCATTCCTTTTCCCATCACTTAAAAACAAAAAACAAGTAAACAACAAAAACAAAAACTTCAATCCCCAAAATATTTCATGTCAGTCTTAAAAGGCATCCAAAATCCTCCTCAACCCAATACTAAATTTATAAAAACTAAACAAAAGTCCAAAACCTTATCTTCTTGCTAGAAGGGATAACTAGGTAAGGAATGAAGTGATTAGCAAGGAATGAGACTTTAAAAAAAAAATCAACCAACACTTAAGTGCTGTAGGTATCAAAGCAACCAAAGTGACTCCATTTTATAAAATCCTTCCACATCTTGTCCCTGGTCCTTATGTACTCCAGGGTCCTGTACCCTTCTTACTAACAAATATGGCAACTTCTCTCCCAAACCATGGAATGTTTTAAAAGTATGCTGTCTGATACCCATGAGACAGACTGAGGCCACCTGTAAAGTCCCTTGCTTCTTTACTCCCGTATATAAAAGATCATCTCCACAACCTGTAGACCCTCTTAATCATAGTCTCATATGGACTGCCCATGCATGAATACTCCGGGTGATTGCTATTTGTTGAACCCCATTAAGTTGTTCTAATTTCCTTCAAACTTCGGTATCTAGACTGGAATCTAGATATGTGCCTATATTGATAGTAACCCATTGTTTCCAGTTCTGCTTATCAACCAGCGTTAGGGGGAGGCATCACACAGTCTGCAGCTTTTATATAACCTGCTATCTAGCATGTATCCCCACCTGTTAGCATCATCTCCTACCTGTTAAACATTATGTACAGGCAATTGCGGAAGAGCTGAAATGCAATGGCCCATCCCCTTTGCTTGAAATGGACCTATCTAAATTGTCTTTATCTCATTATGAAAGTTATCAATAAAAGCTGGCTCCATCTTGAAACCCTTGCTTAGCTCCAGTGACCAGTCCATCAATGTGAAATTTTTAATAAACTCTTCTAATTCTCTTTAGCTCTGCCTCATTAATCAAGATGAAAGCTGGAACAACGAATTTTCCTTTTAACACCTACGCATACAAAGTATAGTATTAGGTATTAGGGACATACAAAATTTTTTTTTTTTTGGCTAGGCAATGGGGTTAAGTGACTTGCCCAGGGTCATACAGCTAGTAAGTGTTATGCATCTGAGGCCGGACTTGAGCTCAGGTCCTCCTGAATCCAGGGCCAGTATTCTATCCACTGCGCCACCTACATACAAATTTCTAACTCCCCACCTATTATAAGTTACAATCTAACAGAGCAATATGGTAGGTACAGTGGAGAAAGCACTGGTGCTGGAGTCAGAAGACATGAGATACCCAGCCAGTTACTATCCGGGCAGCCCCTCTTACTTTTTGCCTCATCTGTACAATAAAAAGATTGGATTAGATGACAGCTAAGGTCCCTTTCAGTTCTGAGTCTATGATCTAATGAACTCAGGGAATAAAACATTCACAGATAATTAGAGTATAAAGCAAGGAACAGGCAGGTGTCTTAGAAGACTACAGGGGTCAGTTAATGTTAAGTGACCAGGGTCACACAACCAGTAATGTATCGGAGGCAGAATGTGAACAAAGTACAACGTGAAGTCAAAGAAAGAAAAGGTAAGTTAATTGACAAAGAATTTGGGAAAGACTACAGAGAGAAGGTGGCATCTGAATAGGGCTTTAAAGGTTGGGTTTAGTCAGTCTAGGAAGAGGGAAAAGCAATTATTAAGTGCCTATTATATGCCAAGCACTGTACTAAGTGCTGAGTGTATGGGTGTTCAAGGAGGACTAGCATCTCTGGCCTGAGGGCCTGCCAAGCCCTTTTAGAGCTGTTCATCCACCTTTGGTGTTCACCTGGCATTCAACTCTCACCTGTAGAAGCTGTAACAGGTGCAGTGGCCACAGGCTAGTAAGTCATTTCAGCAGACAGGCTAAACCAGGTTGAGAGTAACTTAAAGGGCACAAACCCCTTAGTGAGATAGTGGAGTATTTACCCTATGCACGTGAAGACTTCCTCCCAGCAGAATGTCCAGAAGGGAACAATTTGTTCTAACGGCCATGAAAGTAGTTGAAGCAGAGCTGTGAAGTGCTGAGAGCTTGGTTAGGCATCAATTGCATCCTGGGGCAATAGATAGTCCTCCTGACTTTTGTCTTGCCATTGAAGTTCAGTGATTCCGCAAGACAAAGTGAAGCTGATGACTTTGTGTAACTCTGCCTCACTTAAATCCAATTCACCCAGGAATCAAGATATCACCCTCTTTGAAAATGAAGGACAAACAACAACAACTAAGTGCTGGAGACAAAAATACAAACAAGCAAGATTTTACCCTAGCCTTGAGGAGCTTACAGTGTAAAGAGAGAAGGCAACAAATAAAAGGGAGGTAATACTGGGGGTGGGGAGGGAGATGCAAACTCTATGGCATCCTGATCAGGGGGTTCTGATAAAGGTCAGGCAAAAGTTCACTTATCAGAGCCCATAGTCCCAGGAACAGTCTGAGTTGTAGTGGCAAGTTAGACAGGGAAGGTGACCAGGTTTGGAAATAAACATAACAGAGAAAAAGGAAATTTCAGGGTATGTTTAGGGAACAGAGAGTAGTCCAGTTTGGTAGAAGAATAGTGTATGTGGAGGAGAATAATATAAGCCTGGAAAGAGAGGATGAAAAATTGGGGAAAGTTTTGAATGCAAGGGCAAAGGAATATGAATTTTATTTAGGAAGTAATGTGGAATCACTGAATATTTTTAAATAGCAGAGTGATATGACCAGCTCTATGTTTCAGGTACTGTTCTTCCCCTCCTTTCCTCCCCTCATGCTTATGAAGCAGTTTAGGGCAGAAGAAGGAAGAAAAAGAACTTATTAAAAAAAAAAGAGTTAAATCAATTGGTAAAGGATGTAAAATAGTGTCTTGTTCATAAATAAACAATCTGATGCCTGAACTAGGAAAACAACTCTCATTTAATTAAAAACTGCTAAAATATGTATGTAAAGAAACATAGCCATTACACGGAAGTTGAGCAATTTGGGGCAGATAATGAATTCAGGCATAACTATAAAGGTTTGTGACCTTATAAATGATACAGGGTGATGTTTCATTTGTATATGAATAGTTTGTATAAAAGGGCAGAGAAAGAACTTTTATTTATTAAAAACTGGAAAAATGTGATTGTGAAGAAGGACAGTTTCAACAAGGACTCAGAATGAGATGCTGGGCCATGTTGAAAACAGATAAAATAGCTAGATTTGCAGGACACTGTGGTCCCTTGGATCTTTTACATGTAATTATTTTAAGACTATGCTAAAATTTTTAAAATGAGAAATGATATAACAATTTTGAAGACCAAGTGATATTAAATATGGAATATTGATTTCACAGGGGAAATTTAATGAGTTGTTACCTCAAAAGTGAAAGGTTCTGTTCATTTTGCTCTTCATTATTTCATGCACGTTTTTCTAAAATCAATGAGGTCATCATTTCTTATAGCACAGTAGTATTCCATCACAATCATATACCACAACTTGTTCAGCCAATCAATGGGCATCCCTGCATTTTCCAGTTCTTTGTCACCACAAAGTAAACTGCTATAAACAGTTTTAGAACATATAGATTCTTTTCCTTTTTCCCTAATCATCTCTGGAAATAGACCAAGTAGTGGTATTGCTGGGTCAAAGGAATAGATAGTTTAATAACTCTCTGGGCAGAATTCTAGATTGCTCTTCAAATAATGAAGACAGAAATGAACAGAACCAAGAAAACATTGTATACATTAACAGCAATATTGTTTTAAGAGTGATTTTGAGTGAATAAATTATTTTGTCTATTATTAATACCCAAATTAATTACAAAGGGCATATGAAGATACTATCTGCATTCAGAGAAAGAACTGATAAACAGAAGTATATAAAGAATCATTTTACACACATATACACACACACACACACACACACACACACACCCTATTTGTATCTAATGGTAGACATCTGTAGGGTGGGGGGGATGGAAGAAAAAAGGGGGGGAAGAAATTAACATGATAATTTTCTTGTATATTTAAAAGGAATAGCAAGTTGTGCATAGTAGATTTACACTTTCATGTGCAAACATCTTTTTTTAATGTACTATGTTATGGAAATGCTTGTTTTATTCGTGAAAGGTTAGTCAGTTCCAGAAGGCTTTGATTTAAGCCACTGAGGGTAAAGGAAACTAAGGCTGGTGTGAAAAGACTCTAGAAGCAGGCAGAATATGAAGACTCGGCAGAAGATTAACAAGGAGCTGTTTGAAGACAGCACCATGGAGAACAGTCAACTGACAAGAAGGCTTATGCTCTTAGTTTCTGATGGGCTGAATGAAGAGTTAACTTCCAGTTATTTCCTTTCTGTGACACCTAGAGCTTAGGAGAGGTGAAACTTCTCAGAAGTAAATACCTGTTGTTTTTTGCTCACCCACTCTGGTTTGTGACAAAGGGAAGGGAAAAGAGAGTTATGCAGGAGGTTTAATTAGACAGCGCAGATGCTAGGTTTGTGTGCCTTGATCTGAGAGTCAATTGAACTGTTTTCTGTTTGCTGCCATTTGACTGGACAGCAGTACAACATCCTGGTGAGTGAATAGCTGGGTTTGTCTTTATATGCCAGAGAGAGTCAGCCTGATGAGCTCTGCAATTCTCAGTCTTAAAGGAATGTTAACTAAGCCAATAGAG